TAGCCATTAGGTGGAGACGGTTTCCAAGTTTTGGCTTGATATTTAACAGTTTCACGACGACTGCTCCATTTTATCTCAAAAAAAAAGCGGAAGATAGTAAAACTACCGTATTTTGCTCATTATTTTTCTCTAACGTAAAAGTACATATTGTATGTATTTATGAAATAATCTGCAACCGCTTGCCAGATTCTTACAATTACTAGTAATCTCCACATTATTTTACTGGATCCCACTACGTAGTAAGTCACTGTAGATTATACTTACATTTATTATTATTCTATAGTCAGAGAGTTGCATTTCAAAGCTCACCCATTTCGATTTTGACTCGTCGGAAAATAAACAGCAAAACTATTGGCATAGCTATTCAGTTACTTCCAAACATCCAACCAAGGACTACAATTTTAATACTACGTTTCCCATTCATCAAGTTTTGTAACTCCTGCTTGCCTAATTTGGGTGGTATAGTTACCACCGTAAAGACAAGAATGTCAACGTACGCTGAGATATGGTGTACTTCATAATATTAAGAATCCGTCCCCGTGATTCCTTAGTGACTGACGTGTTTGCATGCCACACGAACTACACGTGGTGGCCTGGGTTCAAATCCGGCTGTAAACATATTTCGCTGCCTGTTGCGAACCAGTCGTTTGACTGAATGCTTAACAGTGATGCCGGACGCAGAACGCAAAACATTCAGGTATATGCAGCTGCGCCTTATCAACTTTGCTATGTTTACAGGAAAACTGTAGATTTAATGAAAATTAACACTCAGCATTGTATAAACGACCTAGGAAAACGAGTGGCGTGATAAATAAGTACCGTGGTGGCACGAAATTTACACAACCAACGACATGGGCAAGTTGTTTAAGAATAGGCCCCTTTTTGCGTGTGACTTCGCTTCTATTGCGGTATAACATAGTCACTTGCAGGTTAACTGTACACCGTCACCTCTAAATGCCTGTTAAAACCCGCCATCTCTGAAAACGTTTCACAAAAGTGTGAGTAATTTTAACCAACATGTAAAATTTTGGACATCGTTGGATGACGGCTCTGGTGTCGATACTAGTGAAGGTCTTTAGTGCCATGCTATTTTACGATGGTTGAAACAGAAATTTCACTTATTCCATGCCCCTATCTTTTTCTGTCTGTCCATTCGTTCCTTGAACACTATGTACTACTTCACTACGAAGCGTTTCGCTACTTTATATATATACGAAGTCACGAACACAATAACGCCGATCTTTCTTGCGCACTTATATCCAAGCTGTTCTAAGACGGAACCCAATATCTATAGTGAACGGTTTGCCATTAATCTACCTACATGCAATTGAGAAGCATGCGACCAGGCGCTGCAGCCTAAAATGACGGCGCCGAATTTAGCCGTCGAACAGGAAACTGGAACTAGGGATGCAATATGCAAATCGATCCGTTGTACTAAGAAAGAGGTGAAAAATACACATATATAACATCAAATCATCGACCATGAAGAGGCGTTAGTCAAGATGATACGGCCCAAGTTATCGTCGTACCGGTACCAATATTACGAGCCACCAATTAGACAGGCCTCTTTTGTAATAAAATTATAATTATTACAATAAAATAAATAAAACCGGAAATTCTGAAGATGCGAAATATAATGACGGTTACCCTATTTACACGACGGTAAAAATCTAGGTATAGCCTTATATGCAATACTGACTCTCGTCGAAATGCTGATCAGTTGTAACTGCATGAGAGTTAAAGAACAACGATTCTCATCGGGATTATCCAAATCCAAATGTCTGTCTTAAGAAGCGACGCGAGGTGGAATGGCAAAAAGAAATGCCGGTTTCAAAGCCACAAGTGGTTTTACAGAGCTTTAAATCTTACACCTACTCTGTAGTTAGACAAAAACATTTTACTTTTTAAAGAAAAATATGTGTGGGCCTTGTGCATCGGGTACGCATTAATAAATGAACGAAGTGTTTTTTAACCGAGACGGATAGATTACAGAAGTTGCCACTCAGGCCAAATGCAACTGATGTCCATCCCATGATCTATTGCCAATGGTCTCTAACATCTAAACGCCGCAGTGCTGTAATTCTATTACATATGAGCTATCTTATTACGTAAAGATGAACAATATATAGCGGACATTTATATAAACATAAGCGCTGTACCGAAACAGCGCATGGTCGTTTACTTTTCATCGATATAATAAGTGGTAAATCTAAGTATGAAAGGTTTAGGGAGCAATGGCTTTGGTGACAAAATGCTAAAGTAATATGGCAGATGAATACGAGGCTGGTCAGACTATCCAATAAGTGTTCCGGCTCGCGGCTAGCTACCTTCAGAGCAACGCGTCGTGGAGAATTCATAACAAACGATGAATATATCGGCCAAGCCGTCTTTCATCTTTCTGTTGAAAGTTGCGCAGATGACACTTATCGAGATCAACCATACTCCATATATTATAGTAAGCCCAAGAAAAAACGTCCACTCGCATGTCTGCTCGATTCGAGCGCAGATGTCCAAGGACTTGGGACTCAGTAAATGAACACGTTTCGATGAGTTGGTCTAGTCAAAATAAGACTTCGATACTGCTCGACTAATGCTCATTTGATTGCATAGGATGATAAGAGTTAGCGTGCCAAAAACCGATTATGTTTTGTAGACTGCCAAAAGAATGCTTACGCATAAGAATCACGCTATTCTGTTTAACGTAGCTAGCACATGCATGACATACATGCCCTGCTTAAAATTTATATATTGTCTAACAAATCACGTTGTGGCATGACGTCGTAAAAGAACTGCAACTTCACAATCGCTTAGCAAATTTGAACGTGTTACAAGTAAGATCTATGACGAAACCGTGCTTTCACTGTGGACAAAGCATTTAATACAACAAGTGTTGTTGGGAAACTATAGGTAAAGCTAATCCATCGGAAACCTCTATACTGGAAAGTGATCCAATATCAGTGTTGTCAGCAAGGTGTATGCTTTTGGAATAGCTTAGTGGGTACCGTATTTACCTGTTAACTTTGGAAACACGTCGTGTCTACGTTCGAACCGAGCATAGACAAACTTTATTTCGTACTGGGAGCTACCCTAACACAGGTACCAGACGCAAAACTTGAAATAGAGAATAGTGAGCATTACTGCTCCAATGTATTCCAGGATCTGGATGAACTAAATATGGCAACAGGTAACGTTGGGCTGTCCTAACAAAAGCTAGCAAGCTTGTTTTCCTATAAAGCAAACCCTTATATAAGCTCATTATTTAGATAACATATAAAGCCTTATGAATATGATGACGTAGATGTGTAAAGCGTGTACTAACGTATGTCTTTTAAATGGCGTACAATAAATTGATTAATATAGCTTTTCGAAGCGTTTCTAATTGAACGAATTACGTAGAGCTTCATCACCCATTAAACACAGAACATTCATGAAACGCATGGCATAACGCCAACCGCACACTAATGTATGTATTTCCAAGGCGTTCCGCCTTGTCAGGACACAGATAAACGCTAAGATTTGCGCTTGGGAAGCACCCAATCAACAAACGCAAATATCGATCGTTCATAGAATAGATCAATTTTGATGCTTTTTAACTCAAGATTTGTCATAGATTAATCGAATGCAAGGACTATTTTATTTGTATATCATGTAGTTTACCTCACTAGTTGCATATTATATGCAAATATTTGCATTTATATTCGATCTCAACTTATGTATGAACTGAGACGATTGCTTTTCTCAGATTTAGTAGCTAACAAAATTTTATATATAAAAGCTAATCACATTCAATTTTTACAAAAAAGAACATTTTTTCGCCGTTTCACTTATGCCTGCGTAAGATAATAAATATAGAGAAGTGACTAATGAGTTAATAAAATGACTTCAAACGTATCAAACAGAACAGCGTTAGCTTAGTATCCAAATATTTTTAATTATTATTATTAGTTTTAATCAAACGTACATCCGAGACCCTACTATTCCGATTCCGACTGAAGACGTAAGATACTGAAACTTAATTTCTCAAACTAAAAATGTTACCTTCGCAGGATTATCTCGTCAAAACATCTACCCATAAACTAATTTTAGCGATAAAGTTGATTAGTAGAAGCGTATTATTCCACACCCAACCGTCACCCGCCCGTTCGATACGTAGTCTTGCTAGTTGAATGGTTCTTGTATATCATCAGACCACTGCAACGTCCCATAAAAACGTATTGCATCAATCGGCCAATATGACGAGGAACTAATGCGCACAATGTTACGGCTGCTTGAAAAGCCTGTGCCCATATCATACAACAGACTTCACATAGACGCTATCAGCCATGATGGCATTATGGTATTGCGATGCCACGGTTCCACTGCAGTTTTTCGTCAAATTAGAAAGCGCGCGAATTGCTTCATAGCCCCACGATATATATTAGACAGATTAGCTTAGCTGTGTCGTTCGTAAAAGAATTTACATGACTAACTTATAAATCTAACGAACTCTCATGGTAGCCACACATCCCATATATATATATAGTTTTATTTACTGTCTTTTATTCCTTCTAGATACTTATGCGTACAGTTATGCGTCAACTAAGCCTCTTACTAGTCCAACGCTTTCAGAGGAGCTAGACTCAGGCTGGTACAGGCAGTGACAAAAATCAAGCCATGTCTCGCATTTTTCTTGCCGACCCTTCATTAGCAGACCGTTGCTTCATTTCTCTTCGTTGTTGTCAAGGCCTCGATTCGGATAAATGTTTCGTATCTAATAGTACTTCTGACCGGCTCTATTAAGCTTAGCTTTAACCGAATAACATAGATGCAGCGCAAAGTGCCGGCGTCGAAAAGTTATAGCGTCGCTGTCTATAATAACATCCAGGGTGTAACGGTAGCCCATAAAAGGCTCGAAGATTTTTTCAGAAGTTAACTTATACACATATCATTGTTAATTTTAACATTTGTCTATTCGCTTATCTATCTATCGTTCTATTTCGATATTATACTTCTTTACGTACCAGTACGGACGTGCAGACAGCAAAAGCACTGAAAATCTCTGCTGTGAAGCAGCTCATGATGGGTCTTGACTCGGGAGTTCCTTGGCGTTTCCATTCTATCATGGGTCGATATTTCACACGACAAGATGCACATACAGACCTTCCCCTATGTGGTTTAGGTTTGGTGGGTCTATTCAGTAACGCTATTATACGGCAACGTCGTTGTTGTCTTCGTTCACCACTGACGTTTGTTAAGACGAGGTACGATTGAGGTATTAGCAAACGTTCTTCAGAACCCTTGAATGCTGGGTTGTTAACAACAGCGCACCGTGAACCTCCTGAATAAACACATCGACTATAGGCTTGGCAACATAATCATATTGTTTATTATCGCCCACAATGCATAACGACCGCCAACGACACACAAAAATATTCACAGCGGATCTGCGCTAGGTTCTATAGAATCCGCCTTGTAGTTTGCTATACACGCTGTCTCTACATAGGTATGCTAGAAGACTCACAAGCTACTCTACGGGACGAAGTAGAAGGCAACCGACGCGACGCATATACACCCTTGTCATATACATCAGATAGAGGTGTACGTACGTTTGCGCAATCCGTAATCACCGTCGTTAGGGAGGCAGGACGCAAAAACGCGCTCAAGAAGCAACGACTGTCTCCTTGCCTGTCCGCGTTTGGTTTCTAACCGACTATAGAAGCCTCTCCTCGTGCTCTTTACTGCTGCCGACGTTGCTAACACATCCCTTCCGTCTGGTCTTAGCGCAGTAGCAGCAGCGGTCACCGTTTTCACGAACACCGTCAGTCGCCTGTTTGCTGATCGACAACCGTTCACGACAAAAACATAAAATGCCAGTTACAGATCCTCACTACTTTACTAGTGTCTCACCATTCTAGCACGGTAGCGACGAACTTCCTCGTTCACCGTCGTTATTCTATACTCGATCAAAGGCTGCTGGCCTTCTTGTCCTGCGGGCAATGTTAAGTTGTCTGACGGTTGTTAGCCACCGCTGTTCGTCACTGAATGGTTCCACAGCACCTTCGCGGCCTTCACTAACGCTTCACCGATGACTTAATATTGTTCTATTGTGATAGTAGTAGTAGTTAGTTATCGTATAACGACCTTATATTGCTACAACTGCAAGTTATAGCGTAGCTGTAAATGTTGTTCCAAATAAACACCAGCTGCAGCTTCCGCACGACCCGTCGTTGTTGCGGACGATTAAGTTGCTGCTACTGATGCTTCGAATAACACCTACTTCTTCGTACTTTCGACAAGCAGAAAGACACACAAAGCTACAACGCAATGCGTTTGGGGCAGCTTCGTACTGCAACCAAGTTAGACTCTAACCACTCGCTCGTACGCTCACTGTCACGGATGGTGTTCGCCTACGATCACCCACTATCGACGAAAAAAGACAGAGAGAATTGTCATGTAGTGGTAGCATTAACATAACACGACATAAGAACGCCTTAGCTATGCATTCCTGCTGTTGCTGGCATTGGAGGAGCCACAGATCTACGTCATACAATTGTTTGCTAGTTTCTTTAAGACAACACACATTTATGGCTCTTTCAGCAATGTTAAAACTAATTACCGTGATGGTGGTAAATGGTAACGATGATTTTTGCTGGCCTGCACGGACTGGGCGGTATAAAGTAACGGACGTGGTGCGGTTTTACCGGGTCGTAGGTGGACTGACAGGGTACTTGTGTAAGTTAATGGTTAAAGCCGGGTCAATTAAACAGCATATTTTAGCAAATGACAGGAAGAATAAAAACGTGCAGTTAAGATAGGTTCATGCAACCGACAGAATTAAATAGATAGCGCGCTTTATGAGAGTCCGGTGTGAACATTGAGCAGGGGTGCGATATTTCTTGGTTTCCTGCCGCATAGACAAAATACAGCTTAGCTCAATGCAGAAGCGCGGATCCTCCATAAATGCGTTCATAGTGACGGGTAAAGAGCGACACGAGCCAATGTTTTGATTATTGAGCAAACGAAAGGTAGCCGCGCGAAGTTACCGACTGCTGCAAATGAGTGTGACAATAATAGAATATATTAGATCTTCGCTCTTTGGACTAGTGGACTAATTTAAGTGATTTAAAAGATTTTCGAGTCAACTAAGATCTTCAGTACAAACAAGTTTTTGTATTGAAGCTGATTTTAGATGGATCTCATGGATATTAAGGATACGCGGAGAGACTGGAGCGCTGCTTGAACGAGTGAGCCTAGTACAAATGTGGATGATGGAACTTCGACTTTTGACAATGAATTAGGTTGAACCACACTCAGGGTTTTAGAAAGTATAAGAAGTTGTGCAAAAGTTGTACTCAGAAGTATTATCTGTAGCTGTTAATCGTGCCTACCCTAACACTTCACACTCGGGTTTTTCTGATTCGAAATGGAAGAAGATGAAACACTAAGTCAGATGATACTCAGCGGTAGTCAAGATGAGCGACCGGAAATTGGCTACGGAGGTGGTGACTTTGTTCAAAGTAGGTTTGTTCGGTCTAAGCAATACACCGTGACACATAACCCAATACTGGCTTCCATCACCATCAACTGCCACATGAAAAACTTACAGAACTGTAGTGAAGCATATAAACTTGAAAAAACAAATATAATTTTTCTTCATTATGCTTGAATCGATAACAATTTGTCAGTTTTGGTTTCTGTTGTATGTTCAGTTTTTAAATTAAGCAAAATAGTAGGATTTTTATGTTTTTTTATAATCATACGTTTCCAAGTAAATGTTTATATTTATGCTACTTCTTTTGTGCATAAAATGACATCCTTAGTCTCAAGTGTACGCACAGTATATGTTAAACTGTTTCAGTGAAGACCAAGACCAGCATGAATACATTTTTTTTTAATTTTTCTGTTTTAATGGCACACCGGTGAATTTTGCAGAGTTGCTCGCTAAGGCCCAATTTCGAGAAGATGGCACAGCGCCTCAATCACCTACGCCTGTCAAAGCTGCGAGCCAAACGGGTCTCCGCAGAAATCGTCGCACATCGAAAGAGAGGGAACTCGCGCTACTTGCTTTACGAATGCCCCCTCGAGTAAACACTAGACAACAACAACAAGATGTGAGTTCAGCAAAATACTAATTGAACAATCGCTTATATATTAACTTTTATGTGTTCTTGATAAATACAGCTTACCATTAATTTACGAACCTTCCATTTTAAGAGAGTCAAACCGTAACGTTGGCACTATTTACACTATTGTGCAGACGTGTAATACAACATGGTAGCATCATTTAAATCATACTGACGCATGTATATCATACAAGCGAATAGGATAATGGAGAATAATAGAATGGAGAGAAATAGTGTCTTCTGTATCCTATCGTCAAACATACTAACTGTAACATGATTGTCGGTAGGCGCCTTCACCTGGTCCCGTGACAAGATCGCGTTCCTCACAGTGTTCATCAGATGTTTTGTCATCGCCTTCAAATCGGTCAGCTGCAAACCGAGGTCGTGATTCGTCCCGCTCATCACTTGATGATAGCACTGAAGCCCTCTTTGGAGCCATTCCTCCCACACCTCCGTTACTAAATAGTTGCCGAACGGTCAAGGCATTTAAGGGTAGCTGCAAACTTATAACAAGCACCCAAAGAAAACCGGAAAATGTGGCTTCTGTGGTGGGAGCATCAGATCAAAGTGGGAAGCAGCCAAGAACTCCACAGAACCAAAGAATCCTTCCGTTTACGAACGGAGTCTCCGCTAAGTAAGCTAACAATGTACAATATAATGTATTGATCCCTCGTGTCCTTAGAAGTAACCTATTGTTTTGTTTTGTTAGAATCTTTAATTGTATACGCCCCGAAGCCACATTTTTTAGCACAGGCAGAGTAAATGTTTTTCTAAATTTGTTTCTCAGTATGTAACGGATTCGTTTTTTTAAATTTCGTCACTATATGTGTGATTTTCGCGCACAACATTCATCACGGCGGCCTTTTGCGTTGACCTCCTATAGTAAATCGAGCACTCCTGTGTCGACGCCGACTGTTGGTGGTCGATTAACTCTGCGTGGTCACAGTTTGCTGTCACGGACGTCTCCTATGTCGTCTCCGTCATTGACGGTATCTTCGGCAAAAGCAAATCTGAGGACCCGGGGGCGACGCAGATCAATGGACCTTCACGACAATGGATTTAGCTATTCGACCAGTGAAAACATCTCATCTCTGGACAGAGTCGGCTGCCCTGAGCGGCGAAGCCCTGCTTCACTGCTACTGCGAAACAATGTTTCCGTTAAAACAGCAGGTGAAGGGAGATTCGGAGATGATTCAGGTGAGGAAGTCGCAGATAGCGCTGAAGATTCTTTAGATGAAGACGATTTCCTGAGTCAGGTCGCAAGTCAAGTAGAGAAAAAATTCATGCAGCAAATACAACCGACCGCTACCAGAGCCAGGTTAGTTTCAAAGTGGTACACATTTCTTATCTAATAACATGCATACGTATAGGGCTCGAAGTAGCGAGAGCTGACTGTACCAACAACTAATAACATTACTATCATTGGCATGAGTATCTGCCCAGTGGCACTCCTATTTAAGAAGCTTGTGTTTTCTCTATTTTTATGTATGTCGTCTTTTTCCATATAGTGAGAAATCGAATAAAATACCATTTGCATTTAAAACATAGCACTATTTAAGCCATTATAGCCATTACACATCGCCTTCGTTCAACAGATCGCCAAGAATTACCTCCGGCGTCACTGGAACACGTACCTTACTGCAAGGATCGACTTTAAAGCTAAACAAAACACGAACGCCCCGAAAAAAACTATCAAAAGAAAGGGAATCCTCAGCATCGGAGTTATTCGATAAGCAAAATGGTCAGAGCGATGCGAATGTAGTATCGGCGGTGAGGGGTCGTAGTGCGAAACCCGCAGAGGTGAATAAATCAGTGTCTGACATGGGTAACGGGAAGAACAGCCAAAGCTCAACTTCATCGGGTCAGTAAATGTTAAAGGCTAATGATTTAAACTGGTTATTTAATATCAGTATGAAACTGTATGGCATATTTGACACCCATATATTATTAAGAGCCTAAAGAGATGACAGCAAAATTGTTTATCAATTACTTGTTTTTCATTGATTCCCATTTTTCTTTCGAATTTGTATTACGTCTGCGAAAAGTTTTCTATTGTATCAGACCAATATTTTTTTTCTATTGTCACTCATTTATCACAGTGATTTTATTTTCAGGTGATCTTAAGCGAACGTACACTGTAGAAGAGATTCAGCGGAAACGTGATGCCGCCATGCGGAAACGTCAACAAAAGCAAAACGCAAAGTAACACAAGCTTCTGTTCCGATAAATGGATTTAACTTTATTGGTCCATTAACATGAGCCATGCAGCCCTTTACACACAGGTATCATATTAGATTATCTTAACTGTCTTTTCTTCAGAATACTCATCTTCGACAATCCGTAACAGGAAGGTGAGCTGCCCACTAGTACCTTGGCTTAAAGGGGAACAATAAAAGGGCGTAACAAGGACCATGCTTTTTCACGCACAAAATGAGCTAGTATGGATGTTGTTTCGTGCCTAGCATGCAATAGAAAAATCGATAGTTTGTTATCACAAGTCATTAAAAGAAAATCTTGTTTTCAATAATTGTGGTATTAATTAAAGGCTTGCTTGACAAATATTCGTTCCCAACATAACTTTCGTGCTGTACCCTGTAAAACCGACAAATTATTTAGATACCCCGTATTCACCAACATTTCCTTTTATGACAAATGGTTAATAGAAATCTCGTTCTAGTGCGCTATTGAGTTGGCCTTGTTGAATTGAAGTAGAAAATAAGGAATTACACAAAAAATAGCGAGTACTCGATAAAAATCGAAGCGAAAGTGCAGCTTGAGGATTTTTTGCTTCGTAGTTAAAGCCATTCACCACTAACAATTAGGAGAGTAGGAGTTTTAACGGTAGCTGAACTAACTGGAAAAAAAATCGGAGCCTTTATTTTCTCTTCAAAACGTTTTTAGGTAGCGTCACGCGCTGACCTAATAGCGCAATTAAATGGAAGCTTGCTAAGCTCTTATCGTTGTTTTCAAAAAAAATCTCTTCCAAAATAAACCATAGTATCTCGACATCGATAGGGTAATCTATATAAGCGCTTTTAGTGCACGACAGTCAGTGAAAATGCATAACATGAAAACGAAAAAAGAGAGCAGAAGTAAATTGTATCTGAGCCAGTGAACGTATCCATCTTAGAAGCATTTACAATCATTATCTGTTCGAGAACAGAGCGAACATATGCTGTCTAATTTCTAGCCTATGCATGAATTTAGATGTTCTTATGAAAGATTTAAATTCGGGTAGACATCGAATAGCTAAAACTCTTCATTATATAATGCGTAGTAGTAATGGAGGAAGAAGTCATCCCAAAATGTAGTCGTCGCATTCGTTATCGCGTCAGTAATAAGAGCACAGTAGTTACACAAAGATCTCCTTTGCTAATTGTTTGCGCTAATCGAAGTTACTCTTCGTAGTAATATGAATGTATCATCATGGCTATCAAGGTTGTAACCAAGTATATTCTTATGTTTATTGCACAGAAATAAAAAAAGACATTTTCTACATTACTCAGCATCTTAGTTTCTTAGTGTACATGTGAAGAATCAGTGGTATATATTTACTAGTTAAAATATTCTTTGGTTTATCGAGAGAGAAAGAGACTTGAAACTTTATTTTAAGTTTCTCTTCAGGTCCACTTTTTAATGGACGTTGAACTTGGATATTGTGTGTATATTGGATTCAGATTCATACTGGGTCATTTAGTATGAAATGCAGGATTGTGAGTCCAAAACTTTTCCAAGCTTTTTACAATATATTCTTATAGGGGTTCGAATATAGGGGTTTCGAATATAGGGTTTTCTCAATAGGGGTTTCGAAATGAAAATCGAAACGAAAAATGAAGTTTCGAGAAGCAATTTCGACACCTTGTTGAGGTTTGAACGACTTCCGTTTTAAGAAGTGTCGAAATCTAAAAGAATGGTTCTTTTTGAGACTTATGCCTGGTAAGGGTGGTGGGTGATAAGATGCATTCAACTAATGTAGATTTTTTCACCATGAATATTGTAAACCAGTACTGCCGTGCAGTAGGCTTGGATCTGTTTACTAATGGTGGTTGCTTAATGAGTAGTTTGTATTTTATCTCTTCTAATTATTGACAGCACACTTCGGCCTCAATAGACAATTAAATAGATATCCTAAGTTTTAGTGTTTGCATAATGGCTTTGGGATAATTTCCGGTCGATTCAGTTGCCTCTACCCACTGATGTGACGATCTGCGTTATAAATGAGCCGCTCTAATAACGCGAATCACAATCTGATTCAAGAATGAATCATGACTGCAACAGGAGAAGAAACGTGTTGCAATCGTTTTTAGGCTCTTGTGTTTAATGCTCAGTCAAATCATGCACTATTTATTAAGCGATATGCCATCACACTAATCTGACAGAAGTGAACACGGGATCCATTTTCGAGTTCAAAATTTCTCGTTGAAATTTTTTTAAACCAACGCTTTATAAGGATTTCAGTAGTAACGGATCTGCAGAAATGCTTAGTGGCCGTGTCGAACGTAAAGCTCGAAGCGTTCATGTCTTTAGGCCAGTTATGTTTAGGTCTTTATAGAATCCTTTATCTTAGAAATATATAGGTGCTTTATATGACAATGGAAATAGAAATAAATAATTATTCGTAGTTATTGTTATGATGCCCACAACAAATTGTCATTCGTTTCAGGGGTTTTACGAGAACTTGATGTGGTGCAATTTCATTATGGGATTGAATAATAGGCTATATTCAAAAGTGATCTTACTGTTATGAGAAAACGGAATAGATTGGCTAATGTTGTTAATAAAGACGACAATTCGAGTGAGGTGTGATTCAGCGTGTAGAAGAAATGATGATAATTATGTTTTAAAATCGTAAATATAAGATTCTTAAAGAAACATGCGGTATGGTAATGATAAGCAAAGAGACAAAGAGGAACATGAACCTAAGGCATAGAATATTGTTAGAAAATATTTTCTGTGAATAGAAAGTGCAGTGTTGCGATTCAAAAACGAACAAAGCTTTGTCGGTATGAGACATCTTAAGATGCTATTATATTTATCGGTATTTAAGAATCAATAAATGCGCGGCTTTAGTAAATACGCGATAAAAAAAAAGTTCTGAATTACTACAATTTGTAAGAGAACGATGAGTGTGGCACTGTTCTGAGTAAATATAATGATGTATTAAGTAAATGTTAATTTTAAAATTATTCACTTAAGTTGGTCTACACTATGTCCATTCTCGATGATATAAAATATCGTATCAGGGGTTTCTCAGCCCACGAGAACACTTTGATAGGTGGCGAAATGATTTTTGATCCAGTCAGTTTTTGGCAACGGCTGTGCGAAAAAAAAACAGTCATCAACGTAATTTCATAGTTGAAAACAAACATAATTGGAAGTGCTCAGACATGCGTTGTAAATCCACTGCGAACCCGTTTAAGGTGTGGATAGAACCATCAATCTCCTCAAACGGTAGAATGAAATTAATACTTAATAGCCTTTTTGTTAAAGAAGACCAATTACCCAATGAAAGCATGCATTTTTATGACATCATCAATTTCACAACTAGCATATACACCTCTCGTGCACATTCCTGTCGTATGATACATGCGATACGGGTATAATATATTCACAGTCATTTGATAAACTAGGGCAGCCTGCCGATTTTCTAAGGATTGACCTTATATTGCATTAGATTTAATTGCACGCTATTTTAACCAAGTATATTTAGAGTTTTATCGCCGCAAGTTCGCTCCGAACAGCTCCGCCCTTCCAGCGCGAAATGAAGTGTTTTCACTTTACATGTTTGCTACCGAGCGGAGTTTCAAATATCGCGCCAGTTGAACACTTTCAACTGCCGCCACCGCTGCCACAATGGTAAATGGCCACCTGTGGCCATCCTACACACTCAAAAATAGCACAGGTCTTACTAAACAACCCGTACTGAGACTTGCCCTGGGCTTGTGGCCATATTTTCTAGCTAGAGAGCGAAACGAGCAGGTGAAGGACCCATATAATTGCTGCTGGTGGCGCTGCTGCTGTTTCTGCTAATGGTCGTAATAGCAGACCAGCAGTACCTACATGCACGTGAAGTCACAGGGACGCTGCGTACCCTCCCATTACCCAAATAGAGTGAAGACCGCATTACGAGTCAATACCTGGAATAAATAGTGCGATAAACGTGAGTGCGGGTGTGACTGTGCGTCTAAACAAGCATCAACCTGGATCTGGTTGGGCCAGGACAAGGACGTACGCAAGCAGGTGGTGTTTTGCAGTATAACAACAGCAGCAGCGGCAACAACGACTACGGCTGCAGTGGCTGGCGCAGCGCGATGGGTGGTGGTTCGCGGGAATCCCCACACGATTCGGACGCCCGGCACCAGGTCAGCGGGGCGCCTGACGAGGACGAGATCTTCTGCGATTTCCAAGTGAGTGCAGTCCTATCCTAGGCCCTTCTTCACTGTGAATGACCTACTAGTGCTACTACCACTAGTGACAATATCCACAAGCCACAATAGACCAACTGGCTACATTGAATTGATCTCTGTAATAACAACGATGACTTACTCTGAATTAATTTCCTCGCTACGAGTACCCCGCTATTGTCTACTATTACTCTTTACTTGGTACTGTTATAATATTTGCAACGATTTCTAGACAGTAAGGATCGATGCCACGCGAACGAAAGACTCTCATTGCAACGAACTACAATGATACGTTGCCTCTAATAGGCTTCAAGCGAGTGTATAGTGTGTGAGTGGACAACTAATTAACAACAAATAACACAAACGACGAATCCAGACAATAGTTTGCCAAGGCAAAGCAGACGACTAGGCAGAGAAATTGGCGATTATTATTAACGCTAGGCGCCTGATATCGTAAATCTCCTATTATACGTCGACATGTGGGTCCCCATGCCACTGGCGCCATCTCAGATTTGCACTGATCCTAGCTGTCGCCGCGCGTCTCGTTTAATTTGCAAGTTATTTCATTAGCGTCATTCACAGTACCCTAGCAATGGCAATATTAGTAGAAACAGTCACAGGGAGGTGACCAAAGCATCTCGTATGCATCGTCAAACGAGCAGCAAGGTGATCGTTGAACACATTTACTTGTACTATGGCTAGCGAGTGGTGACAGTGCTGCCGCTGCTGTGTTTATTGCTCCGATATAAAACCGCCCGCTTCCTATATTGCTTCCGTTGACGCCTTGTGCCTTGTTGACGCCACTGCAGGTCGCCGCCATTTTTGGACAGCCGAGTCGAAGCAGATCGAACCCAGCCGAAGGGTGCTGATGCCGCTGTGCTGGTGATCTGCATTTGGCAGGATCAATGTGTATTTTTCGCCATTATAGTCAATCTTGTCTACCGACAAACTGGTTGCGCTAAAACCCAATTACTCTATGCTTTGAAAATACGAGAGGAACAGCAACAGCTAAATAGCAAGTGTTTTTTTGTTGTTCATTCGCTGTTGTCGTTAGAAGTGGGTGCTGGTAATAGCCGACTTGACACCAACAGTGGCGATCCGGCGGCTATTAGCGTCAACACCGTGATAGACCAATAAAACATGTAATCGCCACATCCATAAAGAGTAACGAGGACCAGAACAAACAAAAAATGGAGCAGTGTTGTGGCGGGTACGTGGACGAATTCGAGTTGTTATTTGAGACGTCTCGGGCTGACATCGACGACTATCTGCGAGGACTTGCACTAGATATGCGACTTCACTCGACGACGAAATTTCGGTCTTTGTGTTGGCGAATTTTTCTCGACTGTCTACCTGAGGACCGCATTGAGTGGCCTCAAGCACTGAAGAAGAAACGCCAAGAATATATGAAAAAGGTAAAGGAGTTTGAGCTTGATCCAAGACAGGAGGTGGGTGATAACCCGTTGTCGCAAGACCATCAGTCGAAATGGAATAAGTACTTCCAGGATGAGGAACTCCGGCAGATGATCCAACAAGATGTGATACGGACATGGCCAGAAGTGGAGGTTTTTCAGCGGCCCGATATTCAGGAGGCGATGACGTCAGTGTTATTCTACTATTCGAGGTCTAAGCCAAGTGTATCGTATAGGCAGGGGATGCATGAAATTCTTGCACCCATTGTTTACGTAATGTATAACGATCAGCTCGCATATAACGAGGCCCGAAAGAATGGTCATCTAGAGCGGCTGACTGACGGAAGCTTACGGATATTGGCCGATGTCCTTGACTCTACGTACCTCGCACATGATGCGTACTCGGTGTTCTATTCGCTAATGGAAACTCTTGAAAGTTGGTACTCATGTACCGAAAACAATGAGCCAACTCGCGCAGAAGTTCCTCAGCTCTTTTCACGGAATGATATCGAAACACACACAGTACTAGGGTTGAAACTTAGCAAAATCAACCGACATATACTCAAAAGGCTCGACCCAAATTTACAGGCACATCTCGAGCTGTTGGAGATCAATCCTCAAGTCTACGGTATTCGTTGGTTACGCCTTCTCTTCAGCCGCGAGTATCCGCTTAGCAGTGTTCTGAGTCTGTGGGACACAATTTTTGCTGATTCGATCTCGCTCGACCTTTCTGATTACATATTCGTCGCGATGTTGATCGCCATTCGTGAACAGCTGCTGACAGCAGACTACAGTGGTTGTCTGGACCTGTTAATGCGCTACCCTGACAATGTCGAGGTCTCGTACGTCATTAAATTGGCTCTCCATTATCGGGACCACTACAAATATCCGCGACCTCTTCGACAGATCATACAGGAACGGCCGAAGTCGCCAAGGCGAAGCAGAGCACTACGTCCTCAGACGCTTAATTTTTGTTCACCAGAAGTAGATGAGGTCAACTGGCAGTACATGGCAAGCAGCGGCAAGGAAGGGACTGGCGTTGAACGTGAGCTCAGCATGACAGCTACTGCTAAGCAGCTGATACAGCTGAAGTCACGGGTGGCTGAGTGCGCCTTATCGATGGATGCTCACTTAGCTGTCCTTCAGCAAGCCCTGATACAGACTGGTGGTCCGGAAAGCGCCCTCATAGCATTGGCACAGTTGAAGAGTGCTCGCGACCAGCTCAAAGAGGTTTCTGGTGCAGACGACCTATTTGATGACGGCGAAGGCGGGTGGGCCCTGATAGGTACCCCGCAGCAGGAGAACGCTGCTGGAAGCACCTCCATTCACAATGGTTCGATAGAGACTCTCAAAAAGAGAATTAACGGGCTTATTAACAGAGACTAGGCTAAACATAAATCCTAGATTGTTATTAGATGAAACCGGCAACAATGACAAATATGATCCGCATATCGTAGAGCGATTTATATGTCAAGTCAAACGGTTTTTGATTCAAAGGAATTGCGAGCACGCGTGTATGAATCGTACTATTTAGATGTACACATCTCACATATAGAATATTCTACACTCGCTGTTTACTTCGTGATATTACATTAAAATGGTACACCAATATGTACAATAATAATGATCTAATGATAATCATCATAGAATACTATAATTTAAATACGTATATATATGAAGTCGGTTAAACTGCAGTCGGACACTGATACTTAAACAGGTAATAATGGATACATTATTAGAGCAGCTTCCAAAACATCAGTGGACGTTTAGCCAGTGGACATGTAGCCTTACCCCGTATTTTGTCTAAGAAATACTGCATCTATCTCCGCTCTATTGTTAGAAGTAGACAGACAATATATATATAAAAGGCGAGAATAACACCAATAATCTTCAAGAAAACTTCAGCGAACCCGTCCAATCACAAGCGACCGCGCTTCTGTCAGCGGTTCGCTTGAATCAGCACATCATCGTTGTGACCGGCCAATAAAACCTAACTTTTTTTTACACAATGGGCCACCGCTTTTGTTCACCGTTAAAGCTCTGTCAACTGATTGCTCTGCTCATGATTGCGCCAGTAGTAGCACCTGCAACGGCTGCTTTATCGTGCTTGAATCGTGCTCATAGATAAAACAGACTGAAATGCAAATGACTGCTGCAGTAAAATATGACTAAGCAAGAAGTCGCTATTCGGCTCTCGTCTGCTGTCTGTCCAACAAAATTTCGCCGAGACTAGAGGCTCGACAGTCAAGCGACAACTCAACCAGTTCCCTACGCTACTTCGCCGGCAGCTCCTCCGCCCTGTTTACTATGGCGATATAATTGCAAAACATCTACGGCCGCGGTAGCAAGTTATCAAGATTACTCGATTGATCCAGGCTGTAAAACTCGCGCATTAAACAGATTCGCTCTGCCCTATTTGTTGTTGCCCCAATTGGTAGACGAGTCCTGTAAAGTCTGACTCTGCTGTGACATACTACAGCTAGTACAAACTCCTGTCCATGCGGGCAGATAAACGGTTTGATCTGGCAAAGGGGTGCGAAAGCAAATTCAGCGGAATGGTATGGTAGAGTCGCTGTTAGCCGAATAATTACAAACAACACTAGTAGGCAGTCGCGCGCCCAGCTAGATCATAATGGTAACAGCAATGTGCCGGTCTTGTTTACGATGTCGATAACTGACAATGGTGAGTTACGATAAACAGCTGTTATCGGTTCAAATATGGTTATCAGTATAATTATACGTAGTTTTCTCTGCCCTGAAATATGAAGATGTGTAATCGTATATACTAGACAAGTAAAAGACAAAGTATGGGATGAATTGATCGCCAGCATGGTCGTCTGAGAGACATCTCCTACAGAGCCTTCCAGTGTTAACATGATCTGATTATACAGTTATTATCGCAGTTGTTAATCACTACATTTGTTCTAATTATACTCTAATTTGTTCTAATTCTAATCTAATACTGAATAATGATTTGTGCAGGTGACATTGTTGTTGATATCCAATAGCTGCGGTAAGCGGCGGACACGGATAGGTATCTAGATCAATAGGAAAAGTTTCCAAGATAAGCAACTTGATTTTTTACTGTTTTGCATCAAAAATCTGTGTTTCCTGTTATCTTATTTCCCCCAACAGAATGTGTTAAAATAGTTCTTTTATTTGTTTAAATTATGGGCTGACTGTAAAGTTATGTCTTACAGGATATGCGTATTTACATTTTATCTTGTTATGTTAGTTTAGAAAACTTTAAATATCGAATCTAATATATATTCCAGCTAATACTAATCTTAACAAAAATGTAAGCTTAGATTTGTGTACACACGTCCAATACCGAATCCTTGTGATTTTTCAATCAAATGGAAGGGAACGTATCAAGCAATTAATGAACTATCTATACCGTAGCATGCTGAAAACGAATATAATATATATATATATATACGCACCCGCGGCACTACAATACTCAAAACAAAGAAAAGGATGTGGTTAGAGTGTTATGAACACCTGAAGAATACACCAGGCCGTATGCCAGTCCATGTTCATAGCCGAAGTACCGGTAATTGATCATCACAGTGAACACAATTGTTTTTATTATTTGAAATTAAATAGCAACATGCAACCATAATATACCATTTCTCTTCTTTCTGAACGCTTTACTAATTAAGATGCCGTCAGTTGGATCATGCCGTGGGTAATATCGTGCCGCGAAATCATCTTGCAAGCTAAGAAATTAGGTCACTTTTCAAGCAAAATCAATGACATGCATTTACTGGACGCAAAATACGCCAGTTTAGGGAACTAAATCCTACGAAAATGCTAATGATAATTTATGCTTCAATTTGGAGCAATATCAGTTATATTTTCCAGCATGCACGCGTGCCGAGAACTTACTGCAAGTTGTATCATGTATAGAGTGATGAGCAGAGATACAATGATAAATCAAAACTAGTGTACTCTCGGTGATGACTGTAATAATCGGTGACTAGCAATATTCGCACACAGACAGCGGAAGAAATGGTTGCAAACGTACGTTTAAAGTCAACATGTAAATGAAAATTGGATACTAGAACTATTTACACAACTGTATTATTTGTAATCAATGCCAGTCAAACCGAGGGTAGATCCAGCCAATACACGAATACATCAACTAAATTAGCTGTCAGATAAAGTTTATTGGACTGTTGATTATTATCACTAGCTTATGCCCATTTTTTTACATATGATATTGGCTTAGATGTTGTGTGAGTAATTCCGATGTATTTTGCTAATGTAAAATATTAGCACGTTGTTGAAGATTAGAGCGTTATAACAAACAGCTGGAAAAGCAGCATTTTATGTTATACTGAACATGACCGATGATAGAGATACACGCATATCAAGTATCCAAGTGCATAATCAGCCAAAAAGACAACGTCTGAAATACATCTAAAAACAAACAGATGGGAATTGAACAAAAAATAAAGAAGAATCAAAACAGTGGATCTATATGGGTGGACATGCATATGGAGGTGATGACAGTTCCTTTGCTAATACGAATTTCCAGTTCATCCATTGTTGATAATGAAACGAAGTGCGTGCGAGTTCTCACTGAAACGTTTTAGTAGGTTATTTTGTTGCCTTTTTCTTGCACAAAAACTCTTGTCCGTTTTGTGGCATTCTCCTGTTGGCGTGTAGAAAGCGCTTATTAAAGTAGTAATGAAAGCAGTCATAACAGTGTAAGCGATTATAATAATAGATATATTTGCTATGGGGGTAGTTTTTTTTATGCAGCTGTGCTACCCTTATGGTTCATCAATTAGCACTACCGATATGCGTTAAATTAGTTTCTCCTCATAAACGTGCGCCATGAAACTTGCCGCAATTATAAACATGTGTTAAGCTTGAAATCATCGTATTGAATGAAAAGCGCCTTCGCCTAGCAAACACTCGGGGTGGCGTGTTCCTCTTCCGTGTTTCTTTACTAGTCTCTCGTTATCCATCGATCGTACTCCTGATCAGATATCAGTGTGCATTGGCTATAAGAGCTGCAAGTTAAAGTAGAGTACGGAAAATGCCACCGTGCTGACACTGCTTGCCATATGTAGGCTGCTCGACCAATAGAGAAAGGACGTCGCGAGCCAAAAGAGTGAAGAAATATAAAACGTGAAGTCTTACATGGAGCTATGTGAAAATTATTTTCCAGTTTCTCTGTTTGGAATTCACACGTATGTATATAAAGAAAAAGAACAGGACCATAGATCGGTGAATCACAGTCCACCCAGCGATCTTCTAGCACTAGATTTATATCAGCTGGAGCTCATTTCTCCTTGAGAACCGATTGCCTGATAATGGAGTTGGTAAACTATAGTAAAAAATTTCAAGTCAAATCGTTCATATTTCCTAACTATTCAGAATGTTGGCTAAGAGCATAGACTTCGGTGTGCCGATTTTCCTTGCTTCTTGGTGTTGATACTATACATTGCATCTATAATAATGTGCTGGGCCTAAAAGTGAGGCTAGGAAGGCTGTTCGTCTATTGTCTATTTCAAGTTATTCAGAAGGATAATGCTATTTCCATGCTGGGATGGTACTTGGCTACGATGACGGTATCTCTACGTATATTTATATATAAATATACATATATATATATATATATATATATATATATATATATATATATATACACATATATGTGATATATTTAATAGGAGAAAAAACAAAAATCAATAATATTTATGTTTGCTTTTTTGGGTTTTGCGATCTAATATTTGTATGCCTTCTGCTACAGAAAGTATTATGCGTGTAAGTGACACTTATAGTACACTAGATTAAATCGATAATAACGTATACGTGGTCGCTGATTTCCTATTCAGCTGTGTAGTCGATGTCTAGTAACCTTAATAACGATCTGTGAACTAGAGCATAAATTACAAGAATATAAAAAAAAACAAAAGTTGTCACCATTTACGCATACCGTTCGTACGGAGTACGACCTACCAAGCAGTTTTTTTTGAGAGCCCGTAGCTTCGCATAACCGATCGTGTAGTATAATCCCAGAATCGCCATGTTTCTACCGACACTCTTCGAAAGCACAAACGCCAGGCTATTAGATGTCTGAACACGGAAGGTTGCTAATACCACAATCATTTTGTGCGCGCGTCAGCCTAGTAAACAGCATGGATTAATAAGCCGTACTGCCGGCTTCCGATTTCCGACTCAAGCAGGCTATAGGAAATATTGTCAAGCCGGCTATAGGCAATACTATTTAGGGTAAGATCTGAAAGGATCTTTGCAAAGTGGATATTCTGCCGAAATGCTCAGTGCCAATTTTAGCAGCTTTTCACATCCCATAATCAGGTATCCTTTTGGTTGAAAAGCTGCTCAACTGGAAAAATTGCACGTCCGTTGACCTACACTAATATCAGAATACAGTTGTCGACAACTAGAGTTTTTGCTGTAACCGCTGAGCGATGAAACATAAATTCGTTAAGATGTAAGTCTTTTTGGTAGTACAGTGGTACCGTATTAGCTTATTATTGTTATTATTATTATCACTAACTTTGGCATCCATGCGGTGGTCTATGTTCGAAATCTAGTTTAAATTTAACTCGTTTCATACTGGCAACTGCTGGCTAAAGTAACGCCCATGGGAAAAGTAACAGGCGGAGAACAATCTTTGTCTCAGTCGAGGTAGAGGAGGCATCGATCAAAGCTGGAAAATTATTTCGGTAGTCATATTGCCTCATCGGTTGTTAGCATATATGAAAGATACGCTAATTGTGAACCCTTATGGTTCAGAGCGTCCATAAAAATCGATCATCAAAGTCTGTCAGGTTGAATGTGTCGAGCGGTTGCGATTTTAACAATCTTACAGGTATCTGAAGAAAAACGTGTAGATGTTGATGCTGTATTTCTGGGCATTTTACCACGGGTGTTTTATTTAATATCTGGGAGCACTTAAATGATCAGGAGCAAGTTCAGTACTTAAAATATCAGTCAGAATATGGCCCTGCCACCCCTTCGTTTCAGAGCAGCATACATATGCATCATCTAGAGCTAGACATGTCTTTCTTTTTTCGCACGTACTGCACAATGCATTAGTGAGGTTTATTGATGTTTTAGCGTCGAAAAAGACACTCTCCTATTTTTTTTGTAGGAACACCTCGGGGTACACTTTTGAATAACACATTTTAATGATAGGTTATATTGTAAAAAGTGCACTTCAACTTAAGTCGAGTAGTGAACCTCCTGCGTAAATTTAAATCGTGCAGTGTTACGTTAACCCCAGACCCTCTAGTGTACACTAGTAAAAAACTTCAGCTGTGTGTATATTGGCTGTGATGTGGGTGCAGTGCAAAGAAGATAAGTCACATCACCTCCATAGTCTATGAGTAATGGGCAAAAACTAATAGCCGCAAAGAAAGCCTTCAAAGCAATTTGAAATCAGGACAAAGCACCTTATTACATTACCATGAATGGCCATGAGGGCGCACTGATTGCTAATGGAAATAACATGCCAGTACTATGCAGAAGAGAAATACGTGGATGGGACAGGAGGTTGCACTGCATCTCTGGCAGAAAATAAGCTACAATTATAACAAGGGTACCGAAATAAGCAAACAAAATAAAATGATTGGTCTAATGTAAATGGATGTTTCTATGGGCGTCGTGACAGTACCAACCCCTGGCATACGGGTCATTGACGTAAACATAAAGAGCCTAGAACAATTTAATATTCGTAAGTGTGCAATTAGGGAAGCTCGACTGTGAGTGGTTAAACCAACGAGTCAAACAAGACCCACTTCCACAACTCGTAGGCTGTTGATACTTCGTTAAGTAGTTGTGAATGCATAGGGCGTGGTAATGATCGTTTATGAATTTCAATTTCAGTTGTTTGACGAACATGGTAACCAAGCAGAACGGTTTCGTAAGACCTTTTACTACGGTGAACTTCCTTGGTACTCTGAGCGGCCATCGTTGGCACTTACCTCACTTGCCCTCGAATTTTTCGTGAGATCTCTTCCTCCACCGGATGAGCTACGGTATCTTGATATGGACTACGCATCACGGGTTATGAGGTAAGACAGTTTACGAGATATAGCGACGCGATTGACTATTGGAAGACAGACGACATGGGCTAGAACGTTGTGTTACGAGTAGAGGGTCCCCGTGGCGGTATGGTGGTAGCGTGTGATCCCTTCTCATCCCTCGAAGTTGCACATTAACCTGATATTAAGCCAATTATCTTATTAGGTATTTAAACCAGTTCAAAATAGCGGCGCAGAGGTCTATCGTAAAAAGGACAGTAGGTAGTCAGCGATGGGAAACCCTGTTTTAAAAAATAGAGCAAATTGTCAAGAATTTAGATGGGTGTAGTGTTCGACAATATAGATTGCATTTCATTTGCATGTTTCGTATTGATTGCTGTTTAACTCCATATTTTTTCACGACTTGGTAAAGTTTTCCCCTACATCGTATCTATAAATATTACGGTTTCCGTTCAGATTTTATACAAAGAAAAGATAACAAATTTTGCCATTTATTTGCACTGATTATTTAAGTTATTGGGCTTATTATACTTGCGTCAATAACTGAATTCCTAAAAAAATCTGACTATTATCGGAGAGCATGAAACAATATTCGACACGAAACAACCCAGAATTGATTTTCCTGCTAAGAATGATTTCCTAATTATATAATTTCGCAGGAATGCATGCGTTACTCCGGCGTCCGTTGTCTTAGCAATGGTGTATGCAGACAGACTTCGCACGTACAATCCACAATACCTTGCTAAAACGAACTCTTGCGACCTTTTTCTCGTCTCGATGATGGTCGCCTCGAAGTTTCTCTATGATGACGGCGTTGAAGACGAGGTTTATAATGACGCATGGGCCAAAGCCGCTGATCTCGAGGTTTCCGCACTCAACCGCGAAGAAAGGCGCTTTCTAGGAGCGATCAACTGGAATCTATTTGTGAGTAAGCTTAGGGTTTTCTATTACGATGACTTTCTGTTATGATTGCATATGGATTAAGAGCGTGCCATCTACGAGGCAGATATACACGTGGGATGTAAGAGGAAATGTAGCAAAGGTCTAGGTTTCTCTGATCGATTTAGGTTTTCATTCAACATGTTACAATTGATCTATAAGCCCAACAAAATATAAGTATTTTCGCCATCCAGTTTGATATTTTACTATGATTTTTGTTTAAATGATGATTATTGGTTCATGATCGATAAAGGTTCGTCCAGCGGAATACGGTACGGTGTTAAAGGATATTGAACAGAGAATCGCCCTTCGGGAACTCGCCAAGCGCCAACACTATATGCCAACTTCGACTACTTTCCCATCACAAATCAGTAATGCCACGTACACCGAATTGCAAGTTCTTGCCAGCAATCCGCGCACTCTTGCCGCCATCTACAACATTCTTTGTGACTACGTTCTGAAGGTATAGGTCACAATTGCCGTGCCGCGGCTGAACTGAAGTAGGCAGCAAAGGTCATCCGTTTTTTTGTACTTTCTAGTTTTATAATTGTCTGTCTATATACACTCTACATACAAAAATTAATTAAAAAAAAAACACCTCTATCAATGCATTACACAAAATACAATATTTATTCATTTTATTTCTACAGGTTGCCACTGTCTCATTGGTTGGTTATTGTGCGTGTTTGCTCACTGTTGCCGCCTCCGTAGCAGTCGTTCATTTAATATCACTCGTAGCCAAACCGCCTACCGTTACTCCAAGAACTACCACCGCCCCAACCTCACGTACCGACAATATCAACTGCACCGGAACCACTGTTCGAATTGGACTTAATCCACAGCGGGTTCTGACGACCCGGCCAGGCTGCGCAGCTACGGCTCTAACGCCTGTTCTCTCCGTTCCTGCGTATTCTGGTCTTCTCCTCGAGCACCAGAAGGAGCTACGGAGCGTTCTGAGAGGAGATACAACCCCGCACCTCGTCAACGACAAAAGTCACAAGGCTAACGAAAGCGAGCCAGAGGCGACCATGGATTCGTACGCAGTTTCTAACAACACCATGTGCTGTTTACAAAATCTCGTTAGCTGTCTCGTCACGGGTAAGCAGTACTTCGCGTATTTTTCTAATATTCGATCGTATTTTTGTGCTTTATGAAATCTTTCTTGCACCGAAATCACCGCAAATACTTAAAGATCAAATGACGATGGTTCCATTCTTCTCTTACTAATTATTTGTCTTTGTTGCAGATGGCTTACACATATCTGGTACAACACAGATTCGAACGGAAATGACTACGCTCGATATTCGGTTTTGGGAACTCTTAAAACGGGTCAAGATGTCTACCCAGCTGAAAGGTTTTGCGCGGCCCTATGGCGTCGTAAGTTTTTCGGGAGACATCGTATTCGCATAAAACGACTTAACAAATAATAGTAATAATATAGTTTGCTGGCGAGTCACGAACGATAAGTGGGTTCTTGTTTTGTGGTCGTCAAAAAGGCGGCAGTAACAGGTTAAAGTGCAGGTCAATGGCGGATTTCCAATGGATGAACGTAATGCAACAGAATGTGTATTTCACTCAGAAAAAGTTGCCCGCTATATTATTTGCTAGGCTGCAATTGATCTTGCAAACGATGTACTGCCGGGTGCCAATTTTTTTCCCGAAAAACTTATTCTCGATCACAAAACGCCCAGCTAATTGAGCTCATAACGTCTCTTAGAATATACATAAGCGCAAGATATGATGACGAGGCGAGTCTGCCCAAACACCGTGAAACTTAAAGTAAAAAAACCCCGAATATAATACACTAAGCGCGTATCTAATTCACGTAGACCACGACTTGTTGTTCAAGTAGAGCTGTAATCAGATAGAATACTATGTGCGTGTGTTTCCTGCAGCCAATAATATTTAAAATGATCACAATATAACACGTGCTAATTAATAATATAAAAATACAGATGTAATGAGGAATTTGTTCGCCCGGTTTAACCAAAATGTGAAGATGTTTGCGGAGCAAAGTGATTTCGTTTGATGTGCAGAATATAATTTAAAAAAGTATATTGAATAAATGCGACATAATTTTGCGTACTTTTCGGATTGTTTTTTTCAAACTTAACAGATAAATGGTCATTGTACTGAGGGCATTCAAAGGTAGTATAGTATTCCTTCTGCATTTGACTGCAAAACTAATAGATGTATCTTAATAAAATAATTATCATAAATCATAAAAATATGATGAGCTGCTGTTCGCTGTACAATCTCATTTGAACTATATCGGGCTGGCTAGCGAGGATGGTACTACTTACGAATTGATATCGTAAGAAATAAAGTTTTCGGCGTGTAAGACCTATATTAGATTTATTCATATATACTTTATATATACATTATGCCGAAATCCTAGTGTTCAATTGTCGTTATTAAGCTATTATATATGAGCAAGCACTTGCCTAATCACAAACAATTGACCCAACAATATATTGGGAACTCTGTTAGGACCACGATCGTATACAGATAACAAGTTGTTTTTCATAAAATCCTTACAACATATTCAGTTTATGATTGGTCATTTCTAATTATGTCGAAAATCTGATTAATTCTGATGACTCCTAACAAATGTGTTTCTTGACACCGGTGGGTCGCAGCTAATAATCGATACATTCAGATCTTTCGGTGGCTCTGTGCCCACAACAGGTAACTCAATACCTTGCTGTAAAATAAAAATAAGAATGGATGTAGCAAGAAACAGTAGCCATTAGCTACTACCTAAGTAGTGTACTGCCATTAGGTACTACCTAATTAGTGTACTAAGTCTCTTTACAATATCCTGACTTATAATCTATCGATTCGATTATAAATATCACTATTCATACATAAAGTAGCATTTCTATGTACACATTCGGTACATTCGGTTTTTTGGCTTAAACTCTCTACGCGATCGAAAAGGTAAGTTCTTGCAAAGTTTGATTCTGACTGACTCTGATCGCGCAATCTAAAATGTTATGAACGGCAGCTCGACAGTGATGTGGAAGCGAAGACTAATTCTAATAACTAAAAATGGTAACAGTTTTTACGGAACATAACAACGATCGGTAGTATGCGTTTTTAACTTGGATGATAGCGCTAGACAACCTGGTCTGTACTGCTTCTGTCTGTGACAGCTTCGTATATATAGCTTCATGTTTGCCTTCGCTATTTATGTTGCATCTATTAGCTAGAATTGGTACGACCATAATCTCTCATAGATGAAAATGCAATGGTGAAAATAGGTTACATACGCTGTTTTGCGCGTCCAAAATTAAGATACAAGTGGTTCCCTCTTGCGGCAAATCCTCGCTAATCTCCCTGACTTGCTCCCGTTGCTCTAGTCTTTCTTCGATATTTTCCAAAGTGGTTACGTCATCTTCAGCAAGGTTGATAGTGCCTGCTAGTAGTTTGGAGCTTAATCTTGACAAACACTCCAAAGCGCGTTGCTGAAGCTGCACAGCTTCGTCATTGTCCACTCTATCCACCAACGTAGACAAAAGGATAAGCTTTAAATAATTGATTTTATGCCTACAGCTAGATATGCATGCCGTTCCGGGAGTAGTATAAAATCGTATCATCACAATAAGACGCATGCTAACTTAAGTACAATTTAATGAGACAGGGAAGACAACAATAGATATCGTTACAATTACGATTGCCACTAAGATTGATCAGTTGACACAGGTCATTTGGTTTCACTTAAAAAAAATATTGCATATAAATTGTATAGACATAAAAGTTTAGATACTCTTGCACCGCCAAATCTTCTTCCGTTGCCTGCTCGCCTCGCACGACTCCTTCCTCTGCAATAATACCAATTTCCTGATCAGGTTCAACCTTCGATTGACATGTTCTTATTGCTGAGATGATCCGAGTTTTACGCTGCTCCTGAGATAATCTCTGGCCTTGCCTGCCCCACACCCACGGTATTCCGAAATCACGAGCAACCTGAACAAAAAGCTAGTTACGTTGTAAGTGACCATCCAAGAAGTCTATCCTTTCTTCTTTTTTCCTGTGATTTTCATTCGAATAAATTATTTTGAATTAGAGAACCTTTTTAATTGATACTTTATTGTGCTTTCCAAATTCATCTGACAAATATATACTTCTTGATTGCGATACTTTATGTATATATACGCGTTAGCAGACTTGAAGTAGCTACTCCCTGAATTTGGCGTCCCCTGTAATGCATCCAGGTGCTACCTCTTTCTGGGTGAATGAGTGCCAGGTAATACATACAATTATGCAAATTTCATGCACATGTTACCATGATAAGGAGCACTCTCGATACAAACTCGACTCATACATAAGACAAAGATAGTATGTTACGTGATTTGTGTAACTGCTTACTCTATACACCGTATGTCGGTCGACAGCGCGTAAACGGGGATTATCACTACGTGAGCACTCCTGAACAATTTCGTCGGGATCGTTTCCACTGTTAAGTCGTCGAGCGATCTCTTGCCGTTGCTCCTTGCTAAGAAACAATCGAATATCACCAGTGTGGCCCCAGTGTTCTGGGAAATACGTCATGTCGACCTTTCCATCGGGAAGAACGTAGACTTTCATGGCAGCTGTACAAATAACACCTTCCCTTAGGCCAGAACGTGACCGCGTACGACGGCGTTTGTTCGTCGCGATTTCTTCGCCAGACCTGGAAATATTAATACGACTCGACAGTGGTTTCAGTCGGATACATTTTTGCACATTCTAGACGAACCGCATTCGGTCTACGGAATATAGAATAAAAGAACACCACAGTGGCTTCCATATCTAAACTTTACAGTAGAGACAATTGAATTTGTATTTTTTCAATCAAAGTACTGGAAATGCTTCAAACTGCCGTTATATAAAATCCAGATGTTCAGGCAGATCATCAAAGCTTTAATAATTAAATATACACGTTTAATGCTGAAGGCTGCTGCGAGTAGAGGGTTACTCAAGTCTAGTATTGCAACATACGCATGTACAATAAAAGGATTACTGCCAATTATTGGAATACCTGTGACAACAGTAGGTAATCCGAATGCGGCCCCTTTGACCTGCAGAACGCCTGTCCTTGACAACAAGTTTCGAGTGCGTTTCTTGCTCCTCGTTCTCCTTGTATATATAAAATTCATCCCAAGATTGGAATTGTGCTTTTACCCTACAAAATCGTTGTCAGCAACAAGGTGGAAGAGTATGTATAAACCACCGCAGACAATGATAACACGGATTGTAACTATAATATAACAATCGGAAACATTAAGTTCTTGTCATTGAATCCCAAAGGACGTGTTATTATTTGCACATCACGCCCCGACACACGTTGCATCTGACACGAACTTTCTAATAGCAGCGGAATAACAGTTTACCATGCTTAAATTGCATTTTAACTAATTTCATTCAACATTGTTCAACATTGTCTTAAAGTCAGTATATTCTTATGTGGATTTGTACAATTCGTGCGAAATATAACATATTCATTCATGCAATGAAAGGAAAGATAACGCTAGCTTCCATGTTTTCATAAATAGAGATAGAACATTTTTCGAGACAATTTTAGCTTACACATTGGCTTCAAGTCCGTGGTGATCGTTGTAGTGCTCCCTTAAAAAACTGAGACTGGAGAATGCTACATCACAACCTTCGCTACAGTTGAACTTGAATGCACGCATGCGCTCTTCGGGATGAAATCGTTTTTTATGTTTAATAAGGCCATTCTTCGTTTGGACAACCTAAAATGAAGGGTAGGACCGACATTCCATTTTTGATACCTTAGGCGTTAATCAAGTAGCAATCCAAATGTGGCATAAACAAAGTAGTAAAGTTTTAAGTATTAATTTTTTTTATCGCTATCAAACGTTTCGAATAGTTTTACTTTACCACATGCTTGTTTTTATTCCGCTTTGTAATCGTATTAAAGAGCTGCGTAATTATATGCCTCGGGAAAAGTCAGAGCCAAAAATATCATATAAATCAAATATGGTGGTATGTGTAGACTAATAGGTTTTTAATTAATTCCAGTGAGTAATCGCTCGTGTTTTTAATATCTATGGATTTAAACATAAAACTATTAACAGAATCGATTTCGTTCATTTAGAGCCACCAAACTACAGATGTTTCTTTACTTTACACTAATTTTCCTGCCCTGTGTGTACTCAAACTACTCAACAAATATTTAAGGTTCTGCTTTTATTTATATTGTTTTTCTTATCCCGTTTGTAATAAAATGAACAATTTTGGTGAAAGCCACACGATGCACATTGTTTGCCTGATGCGGAAAATACTATAAATGTTTGAATATGATAATGCTCTTATTTTTTTTCTGTTAATTGTTCTCAGGGCCTACGGTTTTATTAAAGGAAAATCAACGACTACACAGGTAATATGGCCCAACACTAATGTACTCGTATAAACGAAAACAAGCTTTTGACCTCACTCTGCCTAAGAGTTTTGACAGCGAAATTTTGTGCAATTTGCATCCAAATTAAAACTTATATAAATCCCATAAGTTAAATACCAAACCATCTATACGAGTGTCCATTTTAGGTGCGAGCCAAAGGCAGCGTTAGTTGCTGTGAACACTCCCCATTGGTGTCCCTTAGAGTGGTTGTCTTAGGCCTATTTAATTCTGTATATATTTTAAGGGGTAGTTTTAACTCAGTTAGCTGTAAGGTATGCGCAAGTAACCTGCAGTTACATGACTTTTCCAGTGCTAAAGAAGCATAGTGAAAGCTGCAAAAAGTAATAAATTCTTCCTTAAAATGTCGTAGCGAAAATAGTACTTATATGTATGCTGTCATATGCTGTGCGTTTTGTCTCGAAGATTCTTATGACTATCGTGTTTACAGTGAGTCAGTTATATTACTGATCATTTAACCCGATATATTCGATCAGCTCTAACGATCTGTGACACATTTTATCGTTGTTTTATAGTGTAAATGCCCAAATGTTAATAAAAGTTTATCTTTGTTGTTATAAAAGTTTGCTCATCTCTGATTTTATTTACTTTTTGCGAAGGTTTAGCTGCTAAGGTATGACGCACAACCACATACATTGTAGCCACAAAAAGTGCACGACGTGCAAATTTTTAAGGTGTACATCTATAGTAATAAAGTTGAACGTAACATCATAAAGCTAACTTAGCCCCATATATAAACCTCTGCAATGCTGCAAATATAAGATTTTATAATAATAATTTCGAATCAAGTAGATATTCCTCTAATCTTAATATTCTATCGAATAATTTTCGAAGTGTTCTAACAATATCTGTGAAAAAACGGTGAAAATAAAGGAAACATTTTCCTTTATATCGCTGTTGTTACGGGACTACATCGATAATCACTTTTGTCATAAATGCACTTGTTTTGTGTCATAGAATATTTACTGTGACAGTTCTAAAAAATGTCGCGAAATTGCTATAGAAAAAGATGCCTTCATGGCGCGTGCGGTGCGTAATAGCTGAGCCGTGATTGTTTAGCATATTTGACTTAAATTGGTAATAAAGCGGAATACAAGGAAATCTAATCTATGCCTTAATATTGGCCTAAAATGAGCCTGTCTATGAAAATTTGAAAAGCCCGCCGCCCACGAGGCGTCTATAGCAATTGCTGTGATTGTTGCCATTCTGGGCACCGTCGCACATAAAATTATTGCAAAGGTACCTTGTCGCAGAATTCGCACGATACTCCGGCTAATGTGACCTGAACTGTTTCGATGTCGTCCGTCAAATCTTCGTCGCCTGATTCCATTTGTACATTCTTACCATCGGCATATCGGCCTCCGAACGACATTTCGCACTGAGGGCGCACTGGTCTTATGAATTACACATTGGCCCATTAAAGCTGTATTGACAAACGGCTAATGACATGTCCAATATACTTCGTTACATCTTTGATTTAAGAAGTATTCGACTAGTTCAATCGAAGAATAAATATAGCTGTTAATTGTGTCAACGGTGCTTTGTTTTTCTGGGACACAGAGTGCCGGCACGGTTTAATTATGAAAAAAAAAGGTCAATGGACATGTGAATAGCGCTAGGGGCACATTGTGGTCGAAGTTCGGCGAACGTGTAGTGTGCTACTGTTGTGTAGTGACGGCTAAAAAACCGACAGTTTCAACATAGGCTTTCGTATTTTAGTGACTTTTACTCGTATGTCAAGGTTAGTTATTATTAATTAATCTTAAGCTGGCGTAGTATTCATCTCTAAGCTTCATCGTTCTCTATCCATTGTCTTTGTGGCTATGGTTCATTCTTTCTCACTACAGCCATACGTTAAACAAAGGCTTGATGTTTTCTGCACACACACATTTGCTAAGCCTCTAAAACATAATGAACACCTAACAAACGGAAGCAAACGGTAGAACGTTCATTGTTGTGATCATATTACCAAATACACTCCAGATATGACCGAGTGCGGAACATACATATATATATATATATATATTGCGCTGAAAATGAATCCTAGGTAGTTCAATTGATCATAGGTTTCCATAAAGTACCCATCAGAAGTGTGTGTGTGAGGAGTGCTGTTATCGGCACTTGTTAATCATAATAATGAAAGCATAATATTGAGGCTGCGAGTAAAGTAGCGTTCGGTAAAACAAACATATTCGCATTTTCTTTTGCAATTCCAGATGGATAACGATCAATACGACGAAGAGTACTATGACGATGATGATGGGTTATACCAGCTCGAGCCTCATAAGTATGTAATGAGCGAGGCTATGCACTTAAACCTGCTATACCTCGGTCAAGCTATCCGCGAGGGCAATCTCGCCGAGATGCAAAATATTTATGAGAGGTCTCTCGTTAACTTGATGGACCAATATGACAACAAGTTGCCCCCACCAAACGCACCTGAAATTGTCGAAATCCTCACAGACGACGAGCTTCTAATTATTATTTACAAAGAACTCTACTATCGACAGATCTATGCGACGGCCACTACCTCAAATGAGGTTACGCTGGACGACCGATTTAGTAGTTACTACAACTACGTGAACCTGTTCAACTACATTCTATCGTCACAAGGTCCGGTGTCTCTCGATCTACCTAATCAATGGCTGTGGGAAATCATGGACGATTTTGTGTATCAGTTTCAGTCTTTCTCCACGTTCCTTTATAACATTCACAAGATGTCGGACGATGACATGGCGTTATGCCAGGCCCATCCAAAGATGTGGAACGTACACTCTGTCCTAAATGTTCTGCACTCGCTGGTGCAGAAGTCAAATATTAATCAGCAGCTAGAGGTCTTCTCAAAGGGCGGAAATCCGGATGAGGTTGCTGGTGAGTACGGCTCTCGTCCGCTCTATAAGATGCTTGGCTATTTCTCGCTTATCGCTCTGCTTCGTCTGCACTCACAGCTTGGCGACTATTATCAAGCAATCAAAGTGCTTCAGCACCTCGAACTTAACCGTAAAGGTCTTTCTCGCGTTCCGGCGTGTCAGGTGTCGACCTACTACTATGTCGGCTTTGCGTACATGATGATGCGCCGATACGAGGACGCTATCCGCACGTTCAGTGACGTTCTCGTATACATCGGCCGTACCAAGACGTCGTTCCAATCATCCCGTAACTATCAACTGCGTCAGATGAACAATCAGATGGAGAAAATGTACGCGCTGCTCTCAATCTGCATGGTGCTCCACCCGCAGCGTATGGACGAGTCTGTCCTGCAACAGCTCAAGCTGAAGCATAGCGAGAACATGATGAAAATGTCGCAGGGTGACCTGGACACGTTCGAGCGCCAATTCTGCGCCGGATGCCCACGTTTTCTGAGTCCGGTCAGTCCGTTTACGTACGACATCCAGAACATGAAGCACGAAGAGATCGAGGCGCTAAGCGCACAACCGCAACAGCAACAGTGGAGAGCGTTTCGTGGTGAAGTTGTTGCTCAGATGAACATACCCAACATGCGTAGTTTCCTTAAGCTGTATACAACTATGCCGGTAGAAAAATTGACAAAGTTTGTCTCGCCTCCTCTGTCACTTATCGAGGAGGGTAAAGCTTGTTCGGAGCAAGATCTGCTTAAGCACTCGCATCGACAGCTCATGTGCTTTAAGCACTTGATGAGCAACGTAGTCTGCACCGGCGGTGGTTCACTCGACGGTGAGTTTCAGACTGGATCTGACATGGATTTTTTTATTGACAAGGATATGATCCACATTGCCGACACGAAGTTAGCCCGCAAATATGGGGAGTTCTTCGCCAAACAGTACAATAGGTTCGAAGAATGGTACGAAACGGTAAAGAAGCTCCAGTTGTAAAACATTTCACTTGGCCTATATCACCAATGAAATAAATAAAAATAAATATACCGAATAACTAATTAAGCCATGCGCTATCAGTATCATTAATATCGCGACTTGATTATAGCATGCATGTTGTAACAAAATCAGGAAATTTCAGTTCTTAGGTCGATGGGCCCGTCGTATAGTTATCGACGGAGATCAAACTTATAACAGCTGCATCAATAAGTCTCAGAGAGCAAATTCATTCGAACCTTACAGTATTTTTCTTTCTATCTTTCTATTTTTCTTTCAGTATCTTTCTAGTATTTTTATATACCAATCTATGTGTATCCAATAAACATATTAAGAAAATGTCGAAAATATGAAGTCTCTAAGACTGGTGGGTCTTTTATAATTACCTAATATTTGAAAAAGGCTGGGTAGATGCCAAGGAATTTCTTTTGCATAGCTTACAATAATAATTAAGAATATTGCAGAATTGGGATTTATTCAAACTCATTCTAATTTACCATTAATTAGCTAAACGACTGTGTGTAACGGTATCTGTGATGGTGCTGTAAAATTTTTGGTGGTCAGGTTGTCGAAACTATTAATTATATATATATATATATATAACTGTTAATATTAATACACTAATTATTCACTTACTTCTCGATCACACTGAGTTTGAAGGCAGCCATTTATACAAGCGTTTTTGAGTTAACTAATCCGTTGGAACGAAATTTCTAGTAGAACGATATTCATGTCAGTTGATGTGACATTTGACATGAAAATTGATGTAACAAAATAAACCTTTTTTGTCTTATAGGAGTGTTGTGCAACATGTTGCGTTTGTGATCATATTATCGAAATTGAACATGAAATTATCTTGTAGTCAATGTGCTGTTCCCATAGAAACTCAAATAATGACTTTTAAGAAAGATTTATTGCAGATATTCATCATGCCCATCAACCCTCACTGCAACCTACTTGCTACGCTAATGAGGCGCTTTAATCGCGTCTAATTGCAGTAGAATAAATTCCTACTTTCCTTTGCCCTTGCATCGCTACTCGTTCTAATACTTAAGTGGTTACCATTTTTCCTTATAGGATTTTTTTGACTTAATGGAATTTAGAGGATTTATAATGGCGTATTTAGATAACAGGTATGCGAGATCCCTGAGCATCGATTAATTATTTTTGGTAGATGGCGCACACTTGCAGTAAACTCTAATCCCAACTGTCCACCTTAATCAATCGCAAACGCAACTGTTTATTTCAAGCTTATAAAATAAGATCAATGAATAAAGATTTGCTATGAAAATACGCTTATTATTAACATATTTATTATTATTATTATTAACGCTTATTATTAATATATATAATTGCATGTTATATAAGTGTCAGAAAGTAACTAAGCATCTCTGCATTGACAGCCGTCAAAAGGATCAATTAGATTCGCCAATAATTCTCCTAGCGTCTTCTAGGGCGAAGGGTCTACCAGGTTAATTAGATTGCCGCACCGAAACAGTTTAATTAAAGGTAAATCTTCGTTTCATTAGAGATCATCTGACTGTCAGTATATCATTGCTCATACCATTTGTGGGGCATGAAACCGGCTAACAATTAGCGATAACGTCGCTTTGAAAACTACGCATGATTGCTTTTATTGTTCGTACATCTAGGCAACAAACAGTACTCTTCGTAATTGTATGTAACAAGGTCATTTTTATCAATAAAAAGCTTTTAGGAAAAATTTATTTAACTTTCTGGTATTGTATTCTACTCCACATGTATACATAGTTTGTTAAACTTGAATAAAATTACAGCTGCTTGCGACTTTCCTACAGCAGATTACTTCAATGGACCGTTGAATTTATCACGTCTTATTTTCTGCGTTTATCTACTAGTGTTTATATATTTATTATATGAATTAGCTTCTACTCTGTGCGTTGCCGTTTGTACGCTGGTGTTTCTCTGACATCGGTACCGTCATCATCGACTTCTTGTTTTTGAGTTTCCGCTGCCTGTTTTTGCCCCTTTTGTTGCTGTTTCTGCTGAGTTGGCTGTACTTTAGGCTTAACCTGGCAAGCTTCGATTAGCCACCGTTCGCCAGGCGGTACCTTGTCAAGAAACTGCGCCATAACTGCACCACGATCCTTTCTTCGGCGTGTCTCCGCATGAACTAATACGTTAGACGGCGCATCCCAGACTAAACGACGAGCATAGTCCGCTTCGAGCTCCAGCAGGTGGCCCAAAAAGCTTACGTCTAATGGGCCTGTCAAAGGATTTGGACAAGAAAGAATGTGTTTTGACTCTTTTTTTACGCTAAAAGCAATAACAAATCAATAGTTTACCATTTGCGGCCATGTATATTTGTCTGCAATATGTACATTCAGTGGAATGCTATAAACAAAATGATCTCATTAACTCGCTCTGAACTATCTAAATAAATGCTTTGAGTTTTACATTTGGAGTCGCCATCAAGGATTGCACTAGGCGGCTCGATCCTAACACCAATTTGATTTCAATCGTAACGACTCCTTGATCTCTAACATACACCTTACACGTCTGCGATTTCGTTTTTTGTAACAACATCGGTGTGACGTTCATGAGTGCTCCAATGTTCTATGTCTGTATGAAAAGTAGATTCTTAAGCAGACCACTAGGGTAAATGGGGGTGAAGAGACAAAAAATCCAAGACAAGATCCTACAATCAGGACCATTGCATAAGCTATTTAAAAGTATTTTAGAAGGTAAATATGTGTAAACGCATTTTGGACGGCATAGTTTTTAAAATGTCGCGTTAGTGGCACATGCTATGAACTTCAATACCTCTTTTTTTTATACTATTCCTATGATACAATGTATAATTGACACCAATGAAGTGAGCTTTCTCATAAGTGATGAGCACAGTAGTTTTTATTGACATTGATGCCTGAAAATTAAAGTTCGCACCCACCTCGGAGAAACTCAGGACTGGAAGTCCCGGAAGAAAATATAAAACCTGTCCTTTCATGATGCATTAAACGCCGCATACTCCGCAGGGCAACCGCGCGCTTTGGACCCAGCAGCGGCGAATACGCCAACTCGTAAAAGATTCCTTTCTGTATGGCGTACGATATACAGCTATTCTTGGGGAACGCATACGTCTCGGTCAGAGGATAAAAAAGTATGTCCACACCACCCTGAAGCGTCGATAAGAGAAATGGAAATTCGTACAAGAACTAATCGTATTTTTCCTACTTCCGTCCTTTATGGTCTGGCCCTTTTGGCGCGTTAAAGACTATTTTGTGGTCAATGAAAAATAAGTATTAGTATTATATGATTGTTTTTAATCTATTGTAATTATTTATAAATAACCGATTTTTCCGATGCTTCTACAATGACGTACTCGTGTCAACAAAAAGTACGCATTTCAAGAGCTACTTTTAAACATAAATTATTTAACGTAAATGATGCCACAAGCAAATTTGTTAGTTGCTCTTTTTTTGGAAATAATGCAAAGCAGGAAACCGGTAACAGCGATAAAACCTACCTGATCGATAATCGAGTTAAGTAGTCCGTGTGTTGTTGGAAAAGCTGCGAGCAAGTCGTATTCACAGGAGATAGGATTATGTTGAAGTTTATGTGCCTGTTGGTTATCAGACACCTTTCCAGACAGGCGTGTCAATAGCTAAATGAAAAAAGTGCGAAAGGGTACAAATCTTATTACCGTCATTTTGTTTCCCAGAAGCAGTTCGTTTTAATATTAAGTAACGTCGATTTTTGTAGTGACTCATGTAATGATATGTGTATATAAAGACCATATGATAATGTGAATAAACGTTTCGTGTTTTTTTTTTCATACTTTTAGCGTTCTACCCTGTGAGCGAGCTTCCTTAAGGCAGAATTCAGGAATGTCGAACTTGATTGGTTTTGGCAAGGGTTGTTTTGTAGATAATTCACTTTCGCCAATTATTACATTGAGAGCCAACGTATTGAAGCCGAGTTTAAATGCTTTTCTTATACACGCTAACACCTCATGGTCTGGTGTTTTGCAGCCATTTTCATAAACAATTATATTTAGATCACTCATGGCGAGCAAAGGCACTTGCTGACGTTCACCTTAAAGTTATCACTAAGAAAAGAACAACGGTTACTACATTCACTACGTTCGACTTCAGATTTTTATTGTAATTTGCAGTCTTTCGCTTCAAGTGCAAATGAAAGCAACAGCTGTTTTTAACTGCAGGACCGTGGAATTTTTCTTAATATCTTAATCAACGCTTCCGCTGCTTAACCTGACAACAATTCAGTGACATCTTGTGAGAACAATTGAAGCAATTTAGGAGGTCATACTATTGAAAAGGGTATTCACACCATGCCGATGCGTTCGAAATTATCTGAGTGGCAGACGACACCAGAGCTTACAGATGTAAACAAGCACCTGCACAGCATCGAACGGAGCAATAGCACCATAACAGTTCCCGAAAGTGCGAACCATGCAGTAAAGCCGTGCGCGAAAGCAATCGAAGATTTTTTGTTTGAAAAAAGAGTAAAGGAAGTACGTTATTCGTTCAATTTCTCTATATTCGTGGCCGTGTGTAAAAGCTGCATCAAAAAGTAAGGCTGCCATTATTAAAAGGCAGAACATGCTTTGAGGAATGAAGTCACGTTTGCTGGTACATCATATAACGATGACACTCTATCGCTCAATCAGTGTAGTAAATCGACGTTTATAAACAACATAATTATTACGTATAAATTGTCGTGTTTGGAAATTAAAGAACGATTAATAAATCAATTGACTCATTTAAAATAAAAGAAAGAATAGACGTTGAAAGAAACTAGTGCATAGGGTTGAGGTTCTCAAGTTATAAGGCAACCATTTACACTATGAATGGGATACACTTTATAGGAGGAAAACAAGGCATAATAGTCATAAATGCTTTATTCAACTATGAAACATCATCGACCGTATTATATTAGTCAAAGTCACTAGAATGTAGGAAGAAGACTTATAAACAACATTTCGTTGTAATTAGTTATACAAAAGTTCATAATGACAATAAAACCTAATATTTGATTATATATATATTATTATTATTGTAATTTCATATCTATTTTCGAAAGCAATGTGTACATTGATGATTATAATAGTAGAAATGCTAATTAACAGTTACGTTTGAATTTTTCAATTGGTCGGAATGTTTTTAGAGTTCATAGACATGCATAATTAAAGCCTTTCCTGTAAATGTTGTACTAGAGCCCATATAAACTACAGGCACTATATGAGTACGGCCCGAAATCTAAGGCAACTACTCAAAGATGTCGGTGGCATCCCGTTTAAGTAAAAAGCCATTATATCGTCTTCCGCCTCTTCCGACACCCGCTGATCTTCTTCGATTTTATCGGCTTAGAGCAACAAAACAGCTCTCACAGAACTTTCTACTTGATCCCAAGATTTGCTCAAAATTCGTCAGGTCTTCAGGTATATGTGATTAAAAACTATTACGATAGAAAAAAGATTCGGTGTCCGAGTGAGGACCAGTTTGATTAAAGAAATATACGACATGCTCACCAGCTGAGTGAACGATAATACACAGTATGTTCGTTATTGTTCATAAGCACAGTCTCTATAATACGGAAAGAGCTTACTGGAATTGTATATGTAATATTATCTAGGGTCAGTCTTATAAATTCAGTACACAAGTAGGTGCTATTAGCTTATAGATTTGTTTACTATGTTTTGCTTACAGGCAGCCTGAAAGGCGCTCATGTCATCGAGGTCGGCCCCGGACCAGGGTGTCTGACTCGGCCTATCTTTGAACAGGGTGCTGAATCTGTTGTCGTCATTGAGAAAGATAAAAGGTTTATGGCCGCTTTAGAGCTGCTTGCTAATGCTACCAACAACAAGCTAAAGGTGTGTAAAAGCTGAGTAGAAATAACATTCATGGAGGTGTAGTTCAACGATGCTGGACGCAAAAGCCTAAACGTCTAAGGAAACCGAAATTTTTTTCTTTAATCAGTTAAGGTGTAGATAGAAAGCAAGTTGGTTATCCCGTTTCTTCTTGTGCTACTTAAAATCCCTATAGAATAAAGACGTCAAATATTCCGTTCCTTTTCAAACTTATATATCTGTTAATATAACGCACTTTTATAAAAAGAAGGCTTCCACAATTCATCGGTTCGGTTTGAAAAACTGGACTCAAATATAAGAGTTATCACTTCAGTTATAATCGGCAAACTATTTTTGCACAATACACTAACCATTTATAAACATCCATAGGATGTTTAGAACACTAAACTCTTTAGATGAAGTTTGTAAGTGGTAAATTTTCATATTAAGTAGAACAACTAAAAGTCAAGGATTGTTAATTTTTTTGGAAATAAAAGATGTTTTTGACTGACTAACACAGATGGAAATATGTATCAGTCATTCGATTATTAACCATTCGGTGTTACACAGGTGACACTATTTTGTTGCTTCTCCACGTTTTAATTTTATATCGGCTTACAGATCGTTCACGGTGACGTCCTAAATAGCAAGCTTGAGGATCTTATTCCAGCAGAGAAGGCCAAACCGTGGGAAGGAATCCCACCTAATATTCACCTAATCGGCAACTTGCCGTTTTCTATATCAACAATCCTCATCATAAAATGGCTTCATATGGTGTAGTATTTATTAAGTTATAAATAAGAAAGCGCGTAGAATATGATAGCCTTTTGTATTGAACTGTATTTAGCCTAAAATAATCCTAAAAAGTATCTGAATGAAGCATAATTAATAAAAATGTCTTTTTTTTTTACCAATATAAGCTCCACTGATCTCACTCGCTTTTCGTCAGTCATATGTAACATATACTTTGCGTGTTGTTATATCTGGAGCAATTTACAGGAAATCATTTTACTTTTATTTTACAATTATTTAATAATTTAATTTACTGAAATGTGTTGTACAATAAGCGACACTGCATTCGCGCTCTGCTGGGATCCGTTATTTACCTCTATTTTTATATCAATTGAATTACGCATTTTCGTTTTACTGTTGTCGTATGTCTTCCAGATATCAAGGAAGAGTAGTGCTTGGCAGTATGGTCGTGTCCGAATGACCCTTTCGTTTCAAAAGGAGGTTGCGGAGCGAATTACCTCTCGCGACGTGAATCCGGAGAGATGTCGGCTTTCAGTTATTGCTCAAGGCTATTGCTATGTAAAAAACTGCTTCACGATCCGAGGGGGAGCGTTTGTGCCGCCGCCCGAGGTGGATGTCAACATTGTGCGATTTGTACCACGGGTTCAACCAATATTCCGACAGCCATTTGACTTAGTTGAAAAAGTGCTTCGATGTTTATTCAACCAAAAGCGCAAAACTCTTAAGATTCTGATAAAAAATCTCATACCGGAAAACCTCCAGAATGAGCTGGCACAAGAATTGCTTCAGAGGTCTGACGTTGACCCAACATGCCCTCCAGTCCTTATTAGTGTTGAAGATTATTCAAAAATTTGTGATGCATATGCCGGCCTGTGCAAAGAGGTTCCAGGGTTATATGAATATGATTTTCGGTCACCCCGCATTCTCCGGCATCTTCATGTCGAGCCGAAAGTTTTAAACGCTGCCAGTGCAATGCAGTCCACCTAATTGGTCTTAGTCGTAGTGATTACGCAGGCTATATAATTTGCGTAATTCAGTGCCGAGTAACTATTTTAGCCTTAAATAAACTCTTGTAAATAAGTAAATATATTAATACTTTAACGACTATTTCTTTGCCCTTGCACCGAATCAATAACGAAACCGAATATGCATTTCTTCATGTCACCTTATTAGTGGAGGCTAAATAAAAAGCCAGGCCAAATAGGAACTGACTCTACACCAAATGGAAATAACAGCATATTCTTGATATAATGTTCTTTGATATTCTATCTTTCTGGTTCCAAGCACGAATTCAAAATGTTGTACACTTATTGATTTAGATAGCATCAACGATTATGGTGTAGGGTTTCGACTTCGTGTGTAAACATAGTGAGTATATACCTGTGCCCAGAGGTTTCGACCTATTCTTTTGTGCTTTGAACACGCCTTATTTAACTAAGCTTAGAATGCTGCAAACGTATTCCGTATGATAAAAATCTACATCATATGGTGTACAACAATTCCATATATGCATCGTTAATAGAATAATTGTATTAAATTGCCCGGTGCTATCTAGCGGTCGAAAAAGTTTGTAACTTTTAAACCATACGAGATAAAGCTACGATATTTCGGTACATCGTTTTATTCCCTTTTATTATTTAGGAATTAATGACACCTGAAAAGTTTGGAAACTATAAATAGGGGAATATAGATTGTGATTGGTATATTTAATCGTGTTGTCGATACCCTGTTTAAGAGGGTCAAAAAGAGAGGACGCTATGCCACCTATTAGTTTCTCTAAGGTAGGATAACAAGCGAAATTAAACGGACACAAGTTTAGAGAATATGGAATCCATCGCTTAGTCCTGCTTTCCTCGCTCTAGGCCGTAATTAAAAAATGCCGATGACATCATGCGTCATTGTCGAACAAACACATTATTGGCTCTTAATAGCTGTGCCTCGACTCGGGCGTGATAATAAAGTCGCTTTCTCTCCTGTTCAATGTCGCTCTTTCATCTGGTCGGTGACTCAAACTGAATCTTGAGAGCGCATGTAATTTTCATTGTGCACTGACTTGTTTAAATAATTCATCGAGAGTGAATAAACCATATTTAGGATACGCCTAATTTTTTTTTATTAAGTTTAGACAAACCCAGCACTCATTTGCTTAATGCATCGAAGAGAAATATTTTGTTGGCCGTTTCGTCAGGGGCAGGCGAAATTGGTGCGTCTTCCCATGAATGGCCTGTCTGTCGTCAGCACAGTTTAGCATAGTTCTTATGTTGCATAAAAGGGCATTATAAGATATACGGTAGGTCGTCAGATATCCGGGTGGCGTCTAGGAACCTCAGCTTTTTCTAACGAAACTTCAACAATTCTTGGTGACCTAAAAAAACTTCGCTTGAAAAATAATTTTTTTTCGAAAATGAACTAGATAAAACTCAGAACAAAAACGATTTCGTCTGCAAATTTTAACTAGTACACTTTAATCAGCCTTTGATTAAATTGTAAAAATGAAATTCACTTTCATGAGTGTCGAAGGCTTTTATAGTCATATATCTACGCAAGTTAACCATACTGATCTACACATCGTCTCGCGTGTGTTAACATTTTCAGGACATACTCAGGGGGCTCAATATCAAGCTTACTATATTTGAAAACTTCAACGACTTTTCAGTACGCTTAACATTCAAAAACGTCTGGAGCGAAACGTGCAGTTAGAACATTCGCAAGAGAAGAATCACGAAATCGCCGGCAAAGAGAATAATGGTAAATATATGTTGATCCGTTTAGAATTTTCTTACGTTTATGGCGATGTTGCCATTTGTTAAATAGTCTCTTTAACTCCCGTGATAACCCATTGTTTTTTTCCGAAAAGGCCGCCCCAGGCTTTGTGCTATGCCGGTTGAGGGCAAAAGCGACGGGCAAATGAATATGACCTGTTATATCCAATAGCTCTTAACTGGAATTCGAAGCATGATTCATTCGCAAAGGCCATCAGGATTCTAACATATCAACAGTTTCCATTTTCAATTTGATGAATAAAACGGCTTTTCCGAGTTCACGCACAAGAGGTGATCCCTCGTTAGTCCTTCTCTTCACCGCTTGAAGCAGTGACATTCGACGATGAATCGAGGTTATTTCTCGAAGCTTGTTTTGCCATTTCAAAACGCATAGCCTCAATTTGGCGTTGCATCTCGCGTAACTGCCTATCCTTGTCCTGCAGTTCCTTTTCCTTCTGTAAAGCGTCATCTGACGGCAATACGAGGATCTCCTTGTCTGGCTGCTTGAGGCCTTTATTCATAAGGCATTGGACGCGATAGTTTTCGTAATGTACCTGTGAAACGGTTGGGGAAAGTGTGGAAAGCAAAACATGTACGATGAGCATATAGTACGGGTGCCGTGTACAACCATATCTAGCACGAATGGAATGTCCTTCCGTTAAAGAACTAGACCTTTGCTGAAAGTCCGCCGTAACTGTTAAATTTGAACAATATACGCTGTGTTAGCGATTTTCAAAAAGATGCTGTGCGTCGCATACATTATCCGTTATCGGTGTCGTTGCAAACTTTCATACTCATTTTGATAAAAGCCATTGGCTTCACGCTTTCAATTCTTCCAATTAACTGAAGTAATATCATTTTCAATTAATGAAACTTAATTTACCGTTTCCGTCCTTTCAATCATGTCTTCGAGATGATTTATTATGATCGTTTTGAGCTTTTGAAAATCGCAATGGACCTCGTTGTCGATCTCGACGCAGCCCCAAGCGTATCTACGGGCCCGAACCTTTTTCCCATTCACCTCTTGGATATCCAGCGAGGCGCAAACAGCCAAGGGAAAACTTTCACGTAGCTGATTGATCTCGTTTACGTATTCGGGATCCTCGAGCGATGGGTCATCATCCAATGGCATCAGATCGTAGATCCTAGAACGCAGAGTCAGTGCATCAGCAGAGTTCAAATGGGAAGGTTCTGTGTTTCTTCAATGGCCTGACAACTGTTTTACATATCAATATCACTAGGGTTTGCCTATGAATTCGAAAAGATAGGATCTAAGCAAATCCACAATATAGAAATCGATCGTTTGTTTTAATATACGCCCTTGCGCTCATTCCCTTAAAAATATTCATGTTTTTTTTTTTAATTTGATCCCGCAAGTGTAGTAGTTTTATATACGTCGATACTGAGGCCTAAATGAACGATCTCTATTTGGAATAAGAGGTTCAGTCGTCTAAGGAGCTGCATATCATAAATACGCGTGTATAAACTGATGAAATCTTTTATACTCACTGAATGCTATGCTCTATCACCTGCTGGCGGACAATATCTTTCAAAGCCTCGCATTCTTTCGCAGTCAGTGAATCTGCTTTTGCTATCAGCGGAATAATGTTTACCTAAGGAAAGTAAAGATAAACGACAATAATTTATTATTGTTATCGAAGTTGTCGCTACTATGGAAAGCGCTAACGCTTTTAAGGCTAAATTATCGGGTTTTATGAGTAATCAAGTTTTCAAAAGTTCATGTTGAGAAAATTTGCTCTTGCAAGCTTATTCATGCATTCTTCAAGCACGTACATACATGTTTTGCGATTGTAACAATTATTCCCTTATTTCTTCTCAGGATTACCTTGTTGCTACTCTTATGGAGGTTAGAAACGGCACAGAAGTTTAAATAACCCTTGACACCTGTTTTTTTTTGACGACCCCTGACATTTTTTAACGAAATTGTCAATTAAAGTATACAGCATATCGTGAGCCCTCAAGTTTGTAGAGTACTAACCGAATATACAGATATTATTGTTAAGAACGCGCAAATAATTTCTGCCTTACAAAAGCAACTGACATAGATGAGAGAGAAATGTTCGTATTGATTGTTGGAAATCGCGCCTTGTCCTTAAAGTTCTTTATCATCATACCTTATGCTGCAGAGCTTTCATAAACTCAATGTCAAGAGGTTTGAGGCCGCGGCCGAGGGATGATACAAAATATAGGACGCAATGTACTCGGTTGTCGATGATGTTCTTTCGGTGAATTCCGCTCTCCTTGCACAGGTAGCTAATCAAAACAACGAAAGCATCGCCAGCAACAAAATTTATACTGCTATGAATCGCTATACATTTTAAACTGATACCGCTGTTACATAACTCATTAGTAAAATTAGGCCGTTGGGTAAAAGTTGTGATTATTAAATCAAAGTTTTGAAGCTTCCACAATATGGTATTATGCCTTGATCTTGCACGATATTACATAAGAATCAATATTTTTAGTTTTTCTTCACTAGTAAAGTGCCGTAATTGCAATAAAGACCCATTGTTTCATATTTGCTGTTCTTCATATCATGTGTACAGTTATAGTATGTTAAGTTGTCATTCACTCAAAGTTGTCATTCAAATAACGCAAACGTGAGCATATAGATAAACACATATAATCATAAGCTTTTTCTCAGTTCTCACCTGTTGTACTGCTCGTCGATGTATCGCATGATGGGCTCGAACGAATGATCATTATTTAGGCGGTCTCCAAAGCCAGGCGTGTCGATAACAGTCAGCCGAACTTTCACTCCATGTTCATCGATTTCCACCGTATTTGCTTCCACTTTGACTGTATTGCCATGACCCATGTCGACAGCATCAGGGATACGTCTATAATAGAGATTAAAATTATAATAGTAGAGGTTTGACTGAGGTGTTTTTAGTTCCGGAAATGTGGCACAACAAGACATGTTAAGATACGGTAAGTTATCGACTATTTTATTGTTATAGGAAGTATTAAAAAAAAGGGGATATACAAGCATGAAAGGGCTTGGAAGGGCATTTACAAATAAAAATCTTGTAGTGCTTTTTGACATTGAGTCCTACTTGTGTTGAATTTTACTAGCAGTCTCAGACAGGTTCGTGTACCTATAGTATTCCTATTTGAGTCGAATATGGAACTTGTAATAATAACAAGATAGACATTGTATTTTGTTTTACCTGCCATCGTAGAGATCTGTCATGAAAAGCGAGTTAATCAGCGTGCTCTTCCCAAGGCCTGACTCTCCAACAACCATCAAATTAAAATCAAACCCTTTCTTTGCTGCTTTACGATGTAGCTGCGAGGGCAAATGCTTCGCGAAGCCGATCTCTTGTTGAATCGTCATCTGTTGAGCAATAATCGATCATAGGTATTTGTTAACAGTTACGTATTCCAATAATATTTTGCTGAACGGAACAGAGGCACAAATAGACCCGCTATTTTTATAGCTAGCAGAAACCTAAAAGCTTAATATACTTATTTAGACTGAAATCGTTTGATTTTAAGAATCAGTTAGTCAATGCGATATTCGCGCGTGGCTCTGTTTTAGTATGCATAGGTGAATACTTCAATATTTCTTTGACCGTGTATAGTGTTGGTTTGTGTGACCCGACTTGTTCTCTTGGTTTCGAGCTTGCTGTTCCCCAACTTTCCTTTTCATATCGGGTGTTGGCCCTTCTACGAAGCGGCCTACCACTACTCATGGCTTGTATCGTATCAACTCCGAGGTTATATTGATTCGTTTGACCCACGATTTCGCGTCATTGCTCCACCAAGGAACAACAGCCACCGCCACAGCGTTGCTTGGTCGAATGCACAAACGTTAGCAAACGTACATACTATCGACACTAGAGCTAGTGGAGCACAAAAAGGCGAGTATTCCCACGATGGGCAGTGGTAATTGTTGATGGCTGGCACCAAAGATCAGCCACAAGGCAATAACGATTTTATCAAGCGTTTCATCTTTGGTACAACTTCTTTTTTCCTAGTCTTCTTCTATCTCTAGACCGCCCATTTACAGTTCAAATTCAGAGACGAGGTTTCGCAAATATCGTTTTCCATGTTTTAACCATGCGTCCGCCGATGAAGCTGCTGCTACAAGTGCTCTGAGTTCTACGAGACTAGTGAATAATGGTAGACCTGGGTGAATGAGATGACTCAAACAAGCGGGCGAACGTCTAGCAAATTGGGATAGAATCAACATGCTCCGATCATTTGTAGTCATAGAAGCGTTGAAATTAGCTTGGCACGAAAGCTTGAACAGTTTGTCTTAGAATATAGCAGACGAAACACAGAAAGTCAGGCGATATTGTTTGATGCGCCATGGTGTTGTTTTACGCCTTTAAAAAGGCATGAAATTTACGAAATACGTTTTTTTGTTTCTACGTTGAGCAAATTACTTTTGGCTTAATTGGGATGCCGTTAAAATCTGCGCTCAGCAAGAGTCCTAGAAGATTTCGTTCATCATTGCTGCTTCAATTTCGTGTAATGCAATCTGAAAAAACCGGGCTTACATACGCGAGCGATTTCTTGAGTAACCTTAGTTTTAAATGCTATGAAATAGCATTTTTCTGCAGGTATAGAACATATTCTAAACGAGATGAGCCACCGTCGGGTCTGTGTTTATAATCCTCACGAATGAGTTATTTACTAAATAGTTATTGATTAGATTGATCTTGAGTGGCGGCTATTGCTCCACAAATGTGTTTTAGAACCTCTTTATAACAAGGGGTGGTATTAGCCGTTCTGGTCATGTATATATATATATTAGTATTCAAATTTTTATGTAATACACCTACGATTACTGCCAAATCTTAATTTCAACAAGCAGCAATATTTTTTTCGTAAGTAAGGGTTCTTGAAAAGATGTTCATTGACGTCCAGTTACTTTGGATTTATCTATACGGTATATACAGCTCTTCAAATAGCATCTCAAGAAAGTGGGCACTATTTTTTTTACTTTTACATTACAAACACAAGAAAAAACAAAACACATATCTCAAGTAACAGGAATTGTCATTTGACAAATATTATTCAGGGTCGATATCAATTGGGTAACAATGGGACACAAAATATATCTAAGATCTTGGAACTAAAGCAGTGCGTTGTGACACACTATTTGATCACACGTGTCTATACCACATTGCCAATAACATCAAATAGCTATTTCTGGTCACGAGGTCTAAAACCAACATATTCACATAGACTGTCTATAAAGGAAACAAAATTCAAATAGGATTTGGCCAAAGCTATCCAGACAGGCAGAATTGTTATAAAGTATAAGAAAAATATAATTTACATTATTAACAAATTGACAAGTGCAAGACCGTATATCTTGTATCGTCTCTTTTTATAATGCTATATGTATTGCGTTGCGATATCGAAACTCCTTTTATTGAATTGAGCTGTTAATCCGGAGCTTGATTATTTACTGATTTTTTTGTCTAGCCAGCGGTAACACTATTTACGTGGTAACTACTTAACATCGACGGTGTAAGAGATTGCCGAAAGAGGTGCTCCAACCGTTTGAGGTTATAGCACATTTCTATTGAAAAGTTGACCTTAAGATGAAGACTGAGAGCGTTCTAATCTTTATCTATATATAGTGACCAGGTTTGTATCAGAGCTCTGCAATGGCATTACCAGAAACGGGGAAATAATAATACATTTTCGGAGATTTATCCACACATTCCACAATCAAAATTTATCCCAGAAGGCTCTCTCTCAATCGATGATTCACTTACCAGGCGACGCGATACGCGATGATGGAACATCAGTGTGTATTTTTAGGTAGCCTTCTTAGTGTTTCAACACGGAAAAGTAGGCGTTAACGGTTTTTTGTTTTGCTGGTATATGTTCATATAGGATTTTTCTAAGTCTATAAGACAAAAGCTTCAATGTAAGTTAAATACATAATTACGTCCGCAGAATGTTTTTATTTTTGAGTGAGAGCGCTTTGATGTTTACGAATATGTGGTTATAATTATGACACTGGTTGGACGACTTTTGCAAACCCATGGAAAGGTCCCAACCAGGACATGTCTCATCTTCCACTGAACTGTTTCAGGCATGACAAACTGAAGATCTTGACAAGTGTGCGGGTTGCTGTATAGCTGAATGTAAATGTATAAGTATAGACGTTACTAACCCTGAAGCTCGAGTGGCGACTCTGTCCTTCCATCTCATAGAAGACATTAGGTTGGTACTTTGAATATGCCACGTAGACATTATATGGCTGCCTGACCAAAGAACAATGGGAAGTCACATTATGAACAAATTCAGTTAAATTTCTACAAAAACATTTTTATTTTCTTTTATAGTTACTGAACCTACAACCGCATGGACGCTTCTCTATTCATGGGATTCAGATACGGGTACTAATTAATTTTTGCATTACATCGTAAATTGTTTAACTGTCGAATGATAAAGTGCTGTGAAGCACCAAATGAAAATCATACTTCGTTAAAAACCATAAACAAAAATTTGAAACGATAAAAAATTATTAATTCATATTGAGTATAGTTTTCGGATACATAAAATGAGGCAAAACATGAAGACCGTACATAAGACTTTTAATACTGGTGCAGTCACCGGTTGGATCTTAAAGGTGTCTAGCTATACCATCGGTTAAGGCAACTTCACTTCTTAAAAGCATGGTCTCATTTTGGCTTTAAAGCTGAGTGGCAACGTTAATAATTTGCAAGAGGAAAATCAGATCTTTTTATTTTTATTTGATTTATATGAATTCTGCAATTTAATTAGGACGCTGCTAACACTGACTTGTTTTTTAGAGCAAAACAGCTGAAGCGGACCAAAAGACGGAACAGTAGTTCGCCTTAAGCGTCGATGAAAATTATTCCGGAAACAATACAATTATGAACGAAACTCCATCTGTGACAGGTTTTTTTTAGTGATGTACATTATCATCGAAATTGGTGCTGGTGAATGACAAATACGTATGTGTTTTAGTATTATGATCTTGATTACATCAATAATGTAGTAGCTATTCATATTTCACCTTTGATGTAACACAATGTTACCCTTGATTATAAATAATGAGGTATGTGTATTGGATTATAAATTTCATGCCCCAATGAAAAATCTATTGACCAAAATGTCTATTTCCCTCAAAGTTGCGGACAGTTTCTTTTAAAGTTCAACTTAGCGTTAAAGCGAAATCGCTCAGCAACACTTCGCTGCTTCTGCATTTGATCAAGCTAGTTGCAGTACTAGAGCTATCTTGCATTGTAGCTAATAGTCGTTTTTAATACCATAATTAAGTTACACATGTAATCATCTTCTCCCTTTGTTGCTTCAATACCTAGCATGTATTTGTGTCAGCTATCGTAGTCGACACCATCCTTAAGCGTTGCAATAGCTGCGATCCGGTTATTGCACATAGGCGAACAAACACATGCGGAATAAATTCGCAGTGACTAATGTTAGCAGCAGAAACGAGACAACGCTAGGTCAATAGATAAACACGAACCACTGCAGAACACCTCCTATTAGTGGTGGCAGTGGCTGGTTGCGTTAACTCCAATGCGGTTCCTTTTAACCGTGGCGGAGAGTGGAACGAGCGGAGCCTTTCCGGATGGAAAGATGCTGACAACTCATTCTAGCCGCAGTCCGTCAGTCGGTTAGGTTAAAACGATAGCTATGCTATAACACAGCAACGATAAACCACTGCTATTTCAGTTCTTCCTCGAATATCGCTTTACTCCTCCGCTGCCGATCAGTAGAAGACCGAGAAAGATGCACAGAGGCGAGCAGGGCTAAAACGGCCTCTATTCGGGGCTGCGGATCTTCTATTAGCGGCAAGCGCAAAAACATCGAAATCGACGGCAGCAGCATCGCGCAACTGAACCCCATGGGCAACGACATTTTAAGTAAGCAAGCACATATCTATTCAGTTGGTACTGAATAGAGTTGAGTCTCGTTTAAGTTGAGGGCGTTTGAGTCACGATCGTCTTGTTAAGGTTACTTTTATTACGAATATGCTTTTTTGCCTATATGCATATGTGATACAGCTTGCATATGACTTGTGTTATCTTTTCGAGTATACGCATTCTGAACTGAGCACTCCCCAACTTAAATTTTTAAACTTTTTCTACGTTTGTAAATGTGCTTATAATTGTTAATTGGTGTGTCATATGAAATCGCTTCGGATGCAGAAATCATGGCTTTTATTATATATCCGTACTAAATTTGGAAACACGTGGTGGTCTGAGTTCGAAACCGGGCGTAGACCACTTCGTTTCGAAAGCGTCAGCCGTCTGAAGCGGTGCTTAATGCCACTGCCATACCCAAAAGCTGAAACATTATTATATATTCGTAACAATTAGTATATCATATCATTAGCCCCATGTGCGCGTCTTTCATCCAACTATTCTTACTTAATTTATTCGCAAACCAACTGCCAGCACAATTCTTTGGGGTAAGTATATTGTAGTCAAAAAGATTTAATGAATTTGTACTTCGCATTATAATACGCAATTGTTCGCAAACGGTTCAACAACAGCAAACAACACTAGTCACGTGACAAGCGACGTTTAAAAAAAACGATGAGAATTTTCTCAAAAGTATTATCTAGCAAATATACGTAACAAGATAATCCTACCAAGCAAACTTTTTTCTAAGAAACCTTACAAAGTTCTGTTGTTACTGTGTTGTACTTCGACCCCGCTTCACTCCTCCGGCAGTTATCCAGTAGCGATTGAAAATCTGGCGCATATTTTAAGCCAAAGGTTGCTCTGCATACAAAACCGAAATAAAAAAATTTAAATCCCCTTTTTACCTACAAAGCCTACCGTTAGAGTTCCGTTGGCACCTTCCACTTTGATGACACAAACATTCACACCGAATAATGGTCAATAGCCGCTAGGCTTTCGCTTTCTTCGTCGTTAACAGCCACGAATACACTCACATACAGGTATCCACAGCGTAGTGTTTCGTTCGTTCAAATGCTAACGAAGATCGTGGACAGATTTCGTAAAACTGAAACTATCTTTCCTTTTTATTTTAGCTCAATTCACTCGTCTTATCAACGACAAGAGTCAATGCTACTCCGTGTCAGAGCACAAGTAGGCAATCCAGCCGGTGGATCTACAACTGTTGCTTTGGCTACCGCTGTTCAACCTTCAGATATCTGTCTGCTTCTCCCCGATAGATGCTGTTCTAGCTGCCGTTCGTCAGTCGGTTAGGCCGCCGTCGTAGCGGCTGTGGCGCTAGAAGAAGCAGCAGGCAGTTACAGTGACAAGCAAGCACCGGACTACATCAACCCTGATACAGTCACCAACCGTGGCGCTAGAGGCGACACGGTGCAATTTTTGAATTTGCGCGCCCATTCTCCTTCTACGCCGTACCCTCTCTAACTTTCCCCCTCTCCTTAGCTTCCGTCATCGTGTTGAACGATGCTCACCGCCTACAATATTGTAAAATAACGGTTACTTTTTTTCGCAAATTTTTTTCTTTACTTAATGCCATGATGTTTGGAACAATTTTTGGGGTTAAGGGTAGGCAGGCTGTCTGCAGGTGCCTGTATAATCTGTCTGATGGAATGCCGAATGGCGATACCGGACGTAAAATTCGTAACATGGAGATAGATATCTGTATATGATCTAGTAAATCATGATACATGGTGTGTATGGAATCGATATTAAATATTGGGTAAATGTAATTTTTTGGAAGCAAAGTAGACGTCCCAATGTATTTTGCTTCGGTCGTACTATATTTGGTATTAATAATTTCTTTGTGTTTCGATTTTGAGCATACGAAGCTATACCTCACAGCAAATCCTGTACATTTTAGTGATTACATTGGAGGAATATACATATATATATATACACACATTAGTGATAGCAGTTCCGTGCGCAAGTCTTGTCTTGCGCGAAGTAATGTAAGTGTTGTGATATGTATCTACAGTATGATAAGCTAGTAAAAAAAAAACTTCATTCATTGTGCTGTATAGTCAATGAGAGAGAAGCAACAGTATCAGCATGTTACTGTACTGTGCGTGCAGTGGCTCTTCAAACATCGCATATATTAATTGGATACCAATTTGCAAGATGGTGGGACACTAGTTTCTCGTCAATCATATCTTGAAACTAAAACGGGAAATAGCATTAGAGGTGTAACAACTAGTTATTAAGACGAAAGTCAGGTGGATGTAGCTGACTAACAAAGCAGCCCAGAGGAACCCTAGGCGTCCACTACGAATTGTGCGAGCAATTGGTGAGAACATCTTAGGACTGCTGCAATCCGTGCTGAAACAACTATTACAGCAGTGTGAAGGGTAGCAGTTCAAAAAATGATCATACTATTGACGGTCGAGGCCTTAGATACGAATTAAACCTGACTATTTCCTGTTGATTTTAAGGCAGCCAACGACACTTTGACTCGAAACGTGTTGCGAGAGAATCTACCCTTCTTTTTCTCCTTTCACGTCAGGCACCGAGCCTTTGTTGAGAACTGCTTCTACAATGATAAGGGTGAAATCGTTAAGAAGATCGCGTAAAACGTTGTTAGAAGGGTGAAAACTTACCCAAAATTAGAAATTCCGAATGTCAAAGAGGAGGCGAAAGATGAGATTTCCAGCCAAACCAGTCGCCAAGAACCTATCAGAAAGATTTTAACGCAGGCCTGCATAGGTTGGCCTAAATTATACACTGAAGACTCGCGAAAGTATGTAGAATTTCGTCTACTGAACCTTTGTTCTTTTATTCATGTTGATCTACGTAGGTCATAGCGAAAACTTTGTCATCGACGTTCTCGCGGCAGATGTATACGTAAACAACGTTGACTTCCGGTTTGGGAATCCTTTAACCTGAAAGAGAAAGCTTATGTTCCCACTGCTACCATCCTTAAGCTGCAACTTATACTTTCTCCCGAAGAAATTTCCTTTTGCGACGTTTGAGTTTGGAAATTCTAAAGCAGCTTGCTGGGGAGGTGTTGCCTACACCTAATTCCATCGTTATGGAAATTACATATAGAAACTAGCCTATATTTTGTAGTACCAACTTTTTGGTAATTACAACTGCCTACGGTTGAACAAACCATATCGTCTTGATAGAAAAGCCCTGAAAGACTAGATTCGTTGACGGTGTATAAGGCCATGGTGACCGATATTAAACAGCGAATATAAACCGCTGGCTAAGCAAGCGTAGCTTGTATTCACTGTAGCCGCAGACTTCAAAACAGCCTTTAATTTGCTGCCGAAAAGCGTCGTTCTGGTACTTCGTGCAAAAGGGCGATTCCGCTAAAAAATCCGAACATTCTAAAACCATCCTTCAGGCAAACCAGATAACAATCGACGTGGCAGATCATAGATTTTGCGCAAGGAAATAACTCTACTTGCTTACAGTCTTTCGACTAAGTTGAAAAAGCTGTCAGCTAATCGAAGAATCCAGGGGCTTTGTATGCGTAATTCTGCATGTCCAGCAAGCTCTAGCTAGTTTTCATGTAATTTCGGCAAAGCTCGGCCTGTGAATCTGATGAAGATGGCATCGATAAGCTCAAAAAAATTGGAAAACTTTTCCAACACACAATCTTTATCGCGGGATTGCTCCTCGTTTATATGAACACATTGCCCTATCGTTCGTCGTGGGCTACCGCTTCCTTTCGACAGTAGAAGTTTCTTGTCACACAGGAACTCAATCCGAAACGATATCGACCGTAAAAAATCTTATCTTCAGATAGTCTCCTCTAACTATTTAATAGCTTTAACTATAGTCCCAGTAGCTGTCTACTATGTGAGTATCATATGGGAGCATATCCTTCTTGCAAACTTACAGCAGCTAAATCGGCTCACATTTACCTATCTTAAGCGTCTTCTCGAACTTTACCGCTTGGCTCAACATCGGCTACCCTACCTCCTCTTTAAAATGCCCCTGTTAACTAAGGGCCTAAAATGACGCTTCGACCTATCGTATGTTTCTTACTTTAGCAAATGTCTCGCGATCTGGAAAGCCATATTCGTGGAAATAGACGCGTAAAATTATGGGGCTATCTTAAACCATGAATGGATAGCACTGAACTGCTCCGATCGGCGTGCCGCAGCTAGGACACGGCGCATAGGTTCCGCTGAAATCTATGAGCAAAAGTATTCTGAAAGTGAATATTTAGCTGTATGGTAAACAGATCTGTGCGGAACTCTCCCGTAAATGAAGATAAGAGCAACAGTAACCAGTCATGTTACATTACGGCTAATTGTTTCGCATTACTAATGACTGTTTAGCTACTCTCCTTATTCCGACAGAATTAGCGAACCTTAATACCTTAACACCCTTAATACCCACTTACGAAAACCTTAACACGTTCCGTAATAAACTATGTATCACTTCAGATTATCATGAGCCTAATGGAGCATGTACTGCATACACAAAATAGTTTGGTAATTATGTTTTGAGGTTCCTATGCGATTTAGCTAAGAGATCTAGCGCCTTAGCTCGTTTAATATAGGTTTTCTAATAATTATTGAACATTTTTTTATAAAAACATGTTCATGCGAAAAAATATTTTGTAATGTATACGTACTGTTAGAGCAAGTCGTATTTTCTACATCGTTTTTTTGCTCTTGTTACACAGTATTAAGGACCCCTACTCGATAGTTGTCGCCACGTAAAAGAAAAAGTGTTCAGTTAGACTGGCCTTTTTATTCCGTTTGCTTTTGACTTATTTCGCTTGTTTTATTTTAGAGATACCCACAGCCTAATTATCGATTTCCTTCCTACCTTTCCTTTTTTGTTTCTCAAAACTTAAGACGAGTTTTATCTGTCGTCTTGGCTTGCCATGTGTGCATTCAGGTCACTGACGCGTCGAAATGTTCTTAACAAAGTTGTGAGGCGAATGTGTATTCACATTGTCTAAAATTTGCTGAGTTGCTGCTCTTTGAATAGAGTCTCACACATTAGCTAAGTTAAGCTTGAACTTACGACTTCATTTGTCTACATCATTGTTGGAGTAGATTTGTCATCTGCATTATATGCATTCTCCTCATGTCTTTTTCCGTTTATGATAATTTCCGAAAAAAAAATACATGAAAACAATTCTGGTTATCTTCAATTTTGGGATTTGGGCAAATCCTGGGATTTTGTCCATACACACTTTGTCCGTTCTTCATCTTGGCTTCGTGGAGTCCATCCACGCAGCCTTAAAAGCAAATTCCTAACCCGTAAAAGATTTGTCATATTTTTATACTATTATTATTATCCATATTCTTTGATCGTATCCGCTGTCCGCGCTCAGTGGATCGTCTGTTAGAGTTCATACAATTCATTTGTAAAGTAAGTTCAACTAAGTACACTATATACGATCAGCTTACCGTTTGCTGTTCAAGATACTCTTCCTTTCGAAACTTCCCGCTTGTGCGCATTGATTTGGAGCAAATGTCCATCTGCATCTAAATAGGGCTTTATTGCCGAAGCGGCTGCCACATGTTTGGCTAGTCGCTCAATACGTTAGCTCTTGTCGTAACTCACGAGCCAGATGGCGTACATCGGCACTTTCGTGCCTTTGCGTTAAAATGTTCAAATCCTTTACCCTACCTTAAAGAATTTTAACGAATGTATGAATAGGTTTGAAGGAGCTCTAGTGATCTTTGCAATAAGCAGCAACGTTCTGAACACGTCCTCGGATACAAAAGGGTCTTGGCCATAAAAACTGTCGAAAAGGAGACTGGGAAATTGTTGGTGGATGTTGACCAAAACGTTCGTGTTGATGCCGCCGATCACGAAAATGAAAAATACAATATTGGCCGCAATTCGTCTAACCGACAAGTTGTCACTTTGGAGTTCACCGATGGCAAGCTTCAGTAAACCGATAGACTATATCCAGCCAGTAATCTCGGGAGAGTGATTCGATTGTTTAGTGCTATTGGCGTGCTCAAGCCAGCAAAATGAATGAAGCCATACCAAGACGAACAAGCCGTTACACTGTAACATTAAAGTCCAGTCAACACAAACTGATCATAGAATTTGTGGAAGCAGTCTCGCCGTTCTCAAGGCCAATGGTTTCCGGAGGGTTGCTTATGGTGTATACCATATTAATTATAGGTCGTATAAGGTCGTTCATCTGATGCTGTAGCTGTTGCCCTTCTTGG